TACACTTTTGTTTAGGTTATTGACATGTTGCGTCGAGTGATTCCGTTGATGTCACATCCATCCGATTCGTTTATTGATGGGCTCGAAGACTCATTTTCGCAACTATTGCTCGCGTTTGTTTGCGAAAACGATTTTTTTATAAATCTTTAATTTCAGCGGTAAAGTAACGATCATTGAATCTGCTGCTGAATGTGGTGGAGCTTTATACGAGAAATTTCCTAGACGACGCCCCAAGATGACGGATATCTTTTTGAAATTCTTGGGTTAGTTTTAAGCTTCTAAATCACAAATGAATTTGTTTTAGCTAATCTGAACAGCATGAAGAAAATGTTGGAACGAGCTCTGAAATCTCCAGTGCCAGAGGAAAGAGTTGCATTCATTTCGCGGTACTGTATTTACTAATTCATTCGATAGATCGATTGTTATAGGGGTATCTTTTGTCTTGGACTGTTGGCTCGGTACTTTGACTTGGATTTCGTCCTTGAAGAAGAGCCAGATACCGTTCAAAAATATGCCATTAAGCATGAATTGCCACCAAATCCTCTGAAAAGTGAGTCAACTTTAACTTAATGAGTCAATAATGTAAATGCAATTTAGATCATGCCACTGAGGATGATGAAAAACCGCGCGTGATTCGCGATAACGTCTTCGTTCTTTTGTGCTTCTTTTTGGGAGTTCCACAGGCAACAATTCAGAGGAATGCGCTTATAAGCTTGGGTAATTCGTTTTCTTTGTTTGATTCATGATTCGAAATAGGCCATCTATCTGCCCAATATGCTGAATATCTGATGAGACCAGAGATGCGATCAATGTACAATCGATTTCTGGGTAGGCAGGAACCAGAATTCTTGGCTGTAAAAGTTTTGGTATGTTAAAAGACATTTGATCTCTGAAATTCTGCTTTAGACACTCCAAAATCTTGAACGTTTCTTGATCAACGAAGAAAATCGTATGCAAAAGCACAACGAAGAATGTAAGTTTAAGTATAAGTAAAAGAGATGTATAAAGTTGCTTCCCTTAGGGCAAAAACGAAAAGAAACTGAGGATTTGAAAAAAATGGATCAAGCTGGCAGCGGTCTGGGATCAGCCGTAATTCAAGTGAGGGTCTAATTTGACGGAAACTGTTACATTTTCTTTAGCTTTATTGGAACGATGTGCTGAACTGCTATTTCAATCGTGAGAAAGAAGTACGAAACGCGGCTGTTCAGGTAAATTAAGCTATTCTATGTAAATATTCAAGAGTTTAGGTGACCTGGCGCACTTTGTCACAAGGATTGGTCACTCCTGGATCCTCAATTCCGACTCTGATTGCTATGATGACCGATCCGTTGCAAACAATTCGACATAAAGTGGAAAATCTTCTGAAAGAAATAGACACAAAGTATCAAGGAATGGTTCAGGTAGAAAATTTTCATAGTATTTCTGAAGAAGTTTATATTTATAGACAAAGGCCGTTTCTGGGATTCGTTTTGCTTTCCAATTACATTTAAAGGTGAATGGTGGTGATCGACGATTGTTACGAGGAATTCGATTGGTTGAGGACTCGGCAACGGCTAATACTGGTTTGGATTGTGACTAGGATAGTTAAATGATCTGCTTTAGCTCACAAAAAGACTTCAACGGATAAATGCGGTGTTCCACGTTACACGAATGATGGGCAAGCACTCCTCTCTGGGTTATATCAAGTGAGTGTCATTGCAAGTCTTTTTTAATAGTTTCTAGGCATTACGTGGTAATCGTCAACAGAGGAGAAGCCTTTTGCAATCAATTTTACGTCTATTCTCCGAAGACAGCAAAGAGGTAATGATTTTGCTTAAATGATGATAATGACAATGATAAGTCATTTAGAAACTTACGCTGCCTGAATTGATTTTTGTTAGTGATAATATCGCGATGTTCCCATATCAGGTTTTTATTTTTAATTGTAAATAATCTACTATTTTTTGTAGGTTATGGATGAACCTTTATATGTGATAAACGAAATCGATAAAATTGTTCCATTCTCTGGAGAAAGCATCATTGGACATTTCAAAGTTAGTTTTTATGAATATCCGAGCTTAAGAGTCATCTAGGCTTCTCTTTTACCAAAATCGGGGTCACCTGGACAACCAGGCAAAGACGACGTTGAATTCGAGCCGGATGCCATTTATCGTAAGTTCAGTGGTTTGAACAATTAAGACTCATGTTTAGGCCGCTTGCCCAACGATAAAACCCATCTCTTTGAATTGATGAACAATTCGCAGGCTTGTTTCATCCTGCTCTACCTCAAAACCTTCCTCATGAAGCTGTATGGTTTCACAGAAGCGTAAGTTTTATCATTTTTACTTATGGCAATGTTATTTTAGAAAAGTGCAAGAATATTCTCCAACAGACGGAGCCAAACTCTACGAGAAGGCAATCGGTCGTAAGAATGTGCACATGTTCTGCCCACAGTCAGCCATTGCCGAATTGGATCCATCACGGGTGGCTGATCGAGACACGATGAAGGGACATTTCAATCTTTCGCATCAAATTTGCAATGTAAGTAATTATTTATTTGCAAAATGCAAGAAACTATTTTATCTTTGATTTAGCTCCATAAAATGTTGCTCTCGTTGGATCGCAGTGAATATGATGATGATGTGCCTCAAGAAGAACAGCAAGCTGAACAGGATGTAAATGTTTAAACAGAACTTATAAAAACAATACGGGTTTTTTTATTTTTTTTTCGTCTACATTTATGTGAAGTCCGTATGAGTTTTTTGTATGAACAATGTGTAAAATTGTTCTTGATCTCACTTTTTTTTATCGCATAGGTGCTGCTCTTGTGCAACTTTTGTATTTTTCTTGGAAGTGTAGGTGTTCATTTTTGTAAATTACTCGCCCTAGTCATTACTTTCTTTTTTGCCTTCTCACCAATCGATGTCCACACTTAGATTTAGTTTTAGATCAGAGAACTGTCGCATTCTTTTGTGCTTCATCTCAGGAATTTCTCTGTTTGCCTAAATTTGAGCGCACTTTTCAGCCTCTAAACAGGCATCTTGTTTTGTTTTTTGTATGACGATCTTTGAGCGTGATTTCCAAGGATCCCACTTTGTGTTTATGTGAAATTGTTGCTTTGAAATATCCTGCAATTTCTCATTTGTAATCAGATATGTTTTTTGTTGTCCATTTACATAGAAATAAACTTTGTTGGTTTGTTTGCGAGACAAGGCATGAAAGTAGAGCGAAAAACAAATGCAAATTATCATGTACAAAGCACCGATTCGAGATGAACACTAGATATGAGACCGTAGGAAAATGTATCTTTTGTCTGCTGAAAGTGAATCGAACTTTTCGTTTATTCATCTTATTTCATGGTTGGAACTTAATGAACTTTAGAGAAAAGGAACCAAATTTGTAGAGAAAAGGATTTCTCAGCTTTTTAAGCTCTGAGCTTTTGGAAGGCTCCGAAGGGCGGTTAAAAATGGAAATTTTGTACCAACTAAGCAAGCGTAATTTTCTTACGATGGTTGATGTAAATTCCCTAACTGGTAAGAAGTTAAAGGAATGTTTTCAAAAAGTAGTCTCGACTCGTATAATTTATTTATACTTGACAGATGTTTCACTTAATTGATTTATAGTAATATTTGAAGTCAATTATTTCGGTGTATTGCATTTGATGCATTTGATTCGATTGTTGGATCAATTTAAAATTTGAAATTTATTGAAATGATAGCAATAAATTGAAATGATAACATTTAAAAACTATAATTTGCTACCATTTCTACTTTAATTTTTGTAGAATATGTTTTTTATGATTTCCGAATTATTTTGTCTGTTGAAAGTGAATCGAACTTTTCGTTTATTCATCTTATTTCATCGTTGGAGCTTAATGAACTTTGAATGGGCGAATATTAAACTTTATAATATACAGGGTGCGTCATAATTATTGCAACAAGATACTCAAGGCATTGCACACCAAGAAGTTTCTCCCGTTCTCGAGATGAAAGTTGCGTACAGACAGACAGAGAGACAGACGGACACTCCTCTTTTATATATAGTAGATTTATTAATAGTTGATCTCTCAATCAATCGATTTCCCCATCACCATGCCTCTTCAAAAATCCTGATCAAATCAATAACCCAAAATTGTTCAACTTCATTTTGTCCGTCGGCACAAGTTGCCTCTTCTTCTCCCCCTTAGCCAGCAGATGTCGAATAATGCCCGAATCGTATCAATCGATAGCGATATAAAAGGAAAGATTAAAGGAGAATTCATTTCTCTTTACTTTTCACTTTCAAAACCTTTTCTTTTTACCTATTTTTCAATTTAGATTCACAAATCTTCAGATTTGTTCTGGAAATGTCTCTTTTCGAGCTAGCTTTCTCCTTCTTGAACTGCACTCGTTGCGGCAAGTTCTGTAAGTTTTCAAAATGAAGCATTGAACTGAAATTTAACAAAAGACTGAAATCTGAACTGAAATTGAAATGAAATTGAACTGAAATTGAAATCCATTCACCAATTTTACCCTTTTGATTTCAGTCGGCTACAACGAGAGAAAAGCTCTCCCCAGAGAATCGGGGGAACCCGGCAACTGCTTCTGACTACGAGGCCGTTTTGTGAAAGTGGCTGTGAGTGACTCTTTCATATCAATAAGTCACTTTTGAACAAGAAAGCCAAAAGCTATTAAGCCAAAAGTACTTGACTAATAAGTTTAGGCTATTAGTTACAGCAGTAGTTGTTTGCTTTACTATTCAAATTTTCCAGCCATGACCATGCCGAAGCGATCCACGTCATGGACAAGCAGCACTACATCACCGAATTCATCGCTCGTCGTCACGACATTGAGGTGTGGGTGAGAAGGGGAGAGAATGTTTCTGCAATAGAAAAGAGTTCACTTTCAAATCGAAGTATTCGACTTTAAAATCAATTGCTAGATCTGCATTAAGCTTGTCAGAACGGGCTAAAGCACAGAAAACATTATATACAAAGTAAAAGTTTCTAAAGTTTAGAAAAGACCCGTGATTTCATCGACAAGATGGAGACGAAATTCTTTGATGGATCGATTGATCGTGTGATGCCCGAGGCCGAGGCGAGCAAGGCCGAACCTGCGGTGAGTTGGGCTGATCCATAAGGAACAAATCAAGGTCTTTGAGTTTGTAAACTGACAAGAGAAGACAAATCTGACAAAGGGAACGTTCAGCCTTTTCTGCTCGAGCCTTTTCCGCTCGAGCCTTTTCCGCTCGAGCCTTTTCTGCTCGAGCCTTTTCTTCCAGCACAGTAGAGATTTAAGGGCACTTTGAGAAAATATGTTAAATGAAACAATGAAAAATAACTTGTTTCCGACGAATCCTTTATTGCCCATTGAACTAGTTTCAGAAAATAAGTACCTATCTCTTAAACACCCACTTTTCATTGGTGAAATTCTCCCTGGCGATCACTTATCGCTTTTAGGTTGACGGTGAACGTCTGCTGCTGACCGAGTCGACTGATTCTCCAAAAGTGAGAGAAGTCGAGCTAAAAGATACCACACTCGAGGTCCTCAAACGTCTTTTAGAGTAAGTGGAAAAAGTGGAAATGCTTATAAAACAATTTTAGCTACATCTATTCATCGAAATTATCACTAGTGCACATGAAGGAAGAGCTGGTGATCGAGGTGCTCGGATTGGCGAACAAATACGGCTTCGTTGGACTTCTGTTGAAGTTGATCGTTGACCATTTGAAGGTGAACTTTGAAAAGATAAATCTCTTCTTTGTAAATAGTAGAATAATTTCTACAACATTAGACTTTTTAGTCAATCATTCACAACTCGAATCTCTGCAATATTTTCAACATTTCCCTGCAATGTGTGCTCACCTCGTTGACCGATTTCTGTTTAGAGTATGCGGATCGGAATGCCGAATTGGTGCTGAGAAGTGAGGTTTGTCGGAAGCACAAACTGGCGCTAAGTTTGTAAAATAGGGAATGAATCTCTAGATTTACCAAATTTCAAGCACCATATGAAACAATAACTTCATTTCAGGGTTTTCGGCAACTTCTTCGAGAATGCCCCGCAAAAGCAGTTGATCTCTCGGGACTCGTTTTGCGCAAAAGAGATCGATATTTTCCATCTGGTCGGCGAATGGATCAAGGCTAATTCATTGGTGAGTACAGAAGTTATACCAAATGCCTCTCTACATCGTAGTTTGCCGCTTGGCCGACTGGCTAAGAGTCCTATATCTTACAAGGGAACGTTCAGAACTGACCGTGACATTTCGGCACGAAATTTGGCACAAAGGTAAATCGATTACGAGGATTCCAAATCTGGAATTCGTTTTTGCTGACGGGCCTTGGTTTTCGAGAGATAAGCTTGCGGAGTTTTCACAACCCGACAAATTTCGCCAAACTGCCGCTTTGCCTATAAAACGGCAACACAACGAAGAGAAACAAGAGCACCGGTGTTCTAGTGGATAGTGCGCTGGTCTACGAACTCAGGCACAAAGTTTCGTGCCGAAATGTCACGGTCGCTTCTGAACGTTCCCTTGTTAGTCGGAGGGTTAAGGGTTCAATCCCGCCGGCTAGTTTATTCGTTCTTTTTTCCATATATATATGGTTTTTTTCTTTCTTACATTTAAGGGTTAGAGGTTGTGCTTGTGTGTTGTTGTTGTTGTTGTTGTTTGTTTGTTTGTTTGTTTGTTTGTTTGTTTGTGTATTGTTTGTACCACATTATTCGTGTAAATAAATGCATTTTTAACTTGTATTAATAATATTGTATTAATGTATTAATGTATTAATGTATTAAATGTATTAAATGTATTAAATTAATAATTAATAATGTATTAAAATAAATTAATAATGTATTAAATGTAATTTCCATAAACATAGTTCTTCAGGAAAATGGTCAAAAGCTGCTCAACGAGGTCCGATTGCCGTTGATCTCTTTGCGAGACCTTTTGGGATCGGTATTTCAAAATTTAGACCTAAATTTGGACATTTTTAGATCCGTCCAACAAAGCTACTCTCACCGGATGCTATTCTCGACGCGATTCAAGAACAACAGCAGACAAAATCGGCTCATTTGATGCACAGAGCTGTGATTGGTAAGCGATCGATCAAAACAAACACATTGATCGATTGTTTTATGATCCTTTTTAGTTCTTAACGTTTTCAGAAAAATGTTTCTCGTTCAGTACCAAATGTGAACATTGTCACCACCTCACGAGGAGCTCAAGTGATCACCGGCGAGTTCAAACACGCCGATGTCATGCAATATAAGGTGGGAGATTTGAAAGTATGAATTCTAGCTAAGCACCGAACTTTTCTAAATTGAAGCTGCAATTTAAGGGTGAACGAGGGCACACGCAACACTTGATCACTCAAGAACCCGCCGACAAAGAGCCGGGAATCGTCATTGAGGTTCCTGAGCTAAACTTTTTTCTTACTACTTTCACTTTTTCAGCTCGGCAAACTATACATGATCAACAAAATCGTGATGTCGTTGTACGAGAGGAACGCAAACTGCTGGTACTCGTATTTCATCGAGGTAAAACATCAGTTGCTGACAGATTCCTAGTAGACATGGGAAAATGCTCACCCGGAGTTTTGTTTCACCTTCGTTTTTTCAGCAGTTCCCTGGCCGATTGTTCTGGAATTTTGTTCACGAATAGAAATTGGCATTCTCTATTTGTTTACAAAATTTCAGAGCAATCGGCCAAGAGATGGCTGAGAAAACGAAGGTGGAATTAGGTTCGGGTTGGAATTTCGCCTCTGTCCAATTCCCAGGGCAAAATTCAAACTTATAGGCCCCAGTTAGTTAAATCTTTCAAACTAAGGGACTGTACTTATGCACGCATAACAAGTACGGTACCAAAGTTACATTAAAACTTTTCTTTTCAGCTCTCAATGGACAACAAGAACTGGCTACGAGTTGTTGACTACCGCGAGTTTCTCTGTCGCGGACAGCAAAACCTCTATTTCGAGAGACGCCCAGCTAGGTATAATATTTAATAAAACAAACTGTGGCTTACGTTATAAATCAGCATTTCTAAACGAGTTTCCAGGTTTATCCGGAATCAAAGGCACCTCACCCACGACGCACAACTATTTCTGGCGTTGACCGACTTTGCGGAAGGCCAGCCAATAACGGAGATCAAGTGACTTTTTGATTCAGAAACGAAGATTCTAAGTAAATAAACTTTCAGTAATCTAACGGTAGATTCAAATTACAGTACCCGATGACAATGTGGCCACGATAAAAGATGATGCATTGGTGATCGATGGAGTGTCGAAGAGTCGGAACGCGTTGATCAATGGCGATACGCTGGGATATGACTGGAATAAAGGGTAAGCAATGGATAATTTGTTAAAAAAAGCTCTATAATAAAGAATACTGTCTCCCTCGGTCTATTTCCTTATCTTTCTCACTCTTTAGTTACACTTGTCTTGCAATCGGTTGCGGTTCAATCGTCATTCAACTCCCACAACCGTATATCATCTCCACGATGCGTTTATTGTTATGGGATTGTGACTCACGATCATATTCTTATCATATTGATGTCTCAGCGAATAAGAAAGATTGGAAGACTGTTGTGGATAAAACGGGCGAGGCTTGCCAGTGAGTTCGTCGAGATTGATAGATTCAGTAGTTTATCGGAATCGAATGCGATCTATAACAAATCAACAGTCAGATTTCGACAGACCTATAACAAACCAACAGTCAAATTTGACTCAAAAACTCTTTAGATCATGGCAACACCTGAAATTCGAGCCAGTCCCCGTCGTTTTTGTTCGGATCGTTGGCACGCACAACACGGTGAATGAGGTAAAAACACTTCTAGAATAATTGTTGTAATAAAAACTTCTGATAATGAATGATTTACTATAATAATAGCAGCAATATAAGTAAAAACATTTTAGGTATTTCACTGTGTTCATTTCGAATGCCCGTCGAGTCCATTGCCTGCGTTGATCGACGAGGAACAAGATGCTGCATAGAAAAGCTTTTAGTCCAGTTTTCAGCTAATCGAAATCCTATTCTGTATTCTATAAACAAACCTTAACAATTATATTTATCTGTAAAATATCAACAAGCTAGGTGAACGAATACTGATGTTTAAAGTGCCTAAAAGATCAACAAATGGCTTTCAAATGTTAAATATAATTTTGATCGCATAAAACGATCCGCAACCGTTCTTATAATAGCTTTATGTTTACTTTTTCTAATCTCTCATTCACGAGTTCTTAAATTTCTTTTGTTCAATTCAACTCGAGGCGTTCCTTTCTTTCCAATTCACATCAATATGTAGGAGTTCCAAGTCACATCAATATTAATACTTGAACAAATTTCATTTTCATTTCGAGCGGTGTACCAGTAACAATTTTTGATTTGATAACAGTAACAATTAAATTTTCACCTTCTTACCCTCGTATGAGTTATCTAATAAAGTTTCAATGATGAAGTTAAACCATACCATCTCCAATTTTAAATCGAGTTCCACTTGCTGTTCATTCTTAGCTTCTTCTTTGACTTTTTGCTCTGCAACCTCCGAAGTTTCCACCTCAAATTAATTAATTAGTTAATTGAATAAAAATTTAACATTTGCAGTTACCTCATGAAACAAAGTTACCTCATGAATCTGAATGAATCTGACTAGGACTTTCCTGTTACGATGAAAATTTTGGTTTAGAGTTTTGGTTTGAGTTAGAACTTGAAATTCAGGAAATCTTCCATAATCGTTTTCATTTTGACCATGTCTTTGCTGACCATGACCATGTCCATGACTTCCTTCTTGATTAGGTCCTCCAAGATTTCCTGAATTTCAAGTTCTAACTCCGACAAAAGCTCTGCACTGGAGTTCCAATAAATGGTCGTAGTCAGATTCAAACTGGTAAGTTCTAACTGCTTACAATCAGCCAACAGGTCCAGATTCTTTATGACAAAGGGGATACATTTGCTTACAAGACTACAAATGAATTATCCTCTGTTTGTCTCTTCTGCGACCTCTGTAGGTCTTCCTCACCATCCAACTATCAAAATTCTCTTTGCAGTTATCGGTGGTATATCCAATGATCCGAGATCTCCGTGGAATCAATATAGATAAAAAATAAAAATCTCCGTCACACTTTTGGTGAACCTGGAGGAAATGCCCCTCAACATCAGAAACTATACCAAAATACAAGACTTTTTGTTTTGCCACTTTTTATTTGGCTTAGCCGTTTTTTCTAAAATCGTGCCCTTAGAAATTCTTTGTTTTTTTCGAGGCCTTTTCGTGGTTTTTCTTTGCGGTGTTGAGCATTTTTTAGTTCGTCTGCCTCGAAGCATTATCCAAGAGTGGCATGGCCGAGTGGCAGACTGTGATGTGGCATCACTTTGGGTTCTTTTTAAACTTAATCTAGCCAAACACATGCTTGACAGGCTATAGCCAAACACATCTGTAAAGTTACAGATCTAATAGCATGTGTCTAATAGCAGGAAAAGTTACAGGTTTCCTTTTGCAATGACTCTTTCATTTCTTCATTTAATTTTTTCGTTAAGCATACTGTTTTCTTGATTTCTTGAAAAATGATCGTTTTCAAGCTCTCAATTACTCATTTTTGGATAAAAAAACAAAATGAACTTTGTTATCCATTTATCTAGGCAACTTTTTTGTATATAGCTTATGTCTTTCAATTGCAAATTCCTCCAAGGCACTCGCCAACTTGTACGAAATCTGATGATCTCATTCTTAAAGCCGGTTTCCCAGGTGAAGTTGATAATGACTACAAAATTGGCAACTTCATCAAGATTTATCCTTTCACACAAAATTCATCAGCACAATTGAGAGTAAGATTTCAGAGAAAAACTGAGCATCCAAACTGTTAGGGGTTATTGTAATTGAGAGAAAAAAATGATAACTGGGAGGCCATCAACTGCACATATAACTCAAAGGATATAAATAAAAAAAAAGAACATCAATAACTGAGTCAATCAATTAGGGGATAGCAAACAGAAAATTGAGTGATTTGAAAAAAGTTTTTCTGGAGTTTTTTCTGGAGCTATTCCCTACAATAAATGTCTATAAATCGAAGATTAAAGTTGAATGAAGTCGTCGTCGTTTGTGAAGCTGATGCTCTTGATCTGGAAATGATATTTAGATGTACTGCATTTGTTCCGATAGATAGTAATCAAGCTAGCAGAATCAGAAGAAGCTAGCAGAATCAGAAGAAGCTGGCAGAATCAGAAGAAGCTAGCTCTCTAATAAATTCATCCCCAAGGCTGGAAAAGTCAAAAATCAAGGCTACAAGCAAAAACCAAGGCTACAAGCAAAAGCCAAGCCCTTAGCCTTGAGTTAGGCGTTGACAATCCCTGGTCTGCCCTGGGCTGGTGTGCTAGTAAATTTTGGGTCCAGTACTAGATTTAGATTCACAAGAATGTCTGGATCGATCAGATACTAATGAGTCTTCCGATATACTAAATTTGCTCACAAGTGGATGACTCAAGTAGTTCTGAGTTGACTCAAGTAGTTTTGAGTTGACTCAAATAGTTCTGAAATCTCTTTTTACCTCCAATGCTGTCTGATCATCCGATTTCCCCTTCTTTCGCTTGATATTTCTGAAAATGAAATCGATTTTGTTTCCATTTCCTCACAAACTTCAGCGCTCTCTTCATCACTTTCTTCAAGCCAACATGCACTTTGTACAGCTCTCGACGCACATTTTCCGCTAATCCATTCATTATGTCGCCAATCATCTTTTTCTTCTCAACCGGATTCAGATCTCCGTTCTAAAATCAATGAACGCCATAATGACAGGTGTGTACAGTCGCGTAGTCTAAGTTTGGCGTTTGTATTTTAAGACTACAGTAGGTTTTACAATAAACTACAGTGACTACAAGAACTACATTAACTTTTAAATAATAACATACTCTAACAATCCCCTCGATATACTCATCAGCAACAGCTGCTTGATCACTCATTCGACCTCGAGCCTGCAATAGAATACCTACAATAGAGCCTACAATAGAGCCTAAAATAGAGCCTACAATAGAGCCTACAATAGAGCCTACAATAGAGTATAAATACTCTAATAGAACGCCACCTCTTCGTACCAAAAAATACTAGACTTCAAGGGCTATCACAGCCTGACCCAAGCGCACACTGTAGCTTAAAGCAGCGTGGTGAATGGACGAATTCAAACTTAGACTACGCGACTGTACACCTGGCGGCTGTCATTATGGCGTTCTATTAGATTATTTACGGCAATTCGCTTACTCACCGCCAAAATAGCTCTCTCCTTTTTCTCTCGTCTAGATCGAACCTCGTTTCGAAATTTCTCAAAATCTTTCTAAAGTTTATTCTCAATATCCAATTTTTTTTTCTTGAATTTACCTTCACTTGTTCAGTGTCTTTTGCGACAATATCCGCAATAATATCTTCCTTTTCATCCATTGAAAGTTGACTGAAATTTCTCTTTCTATTTTGCTACTATTTTGAAAACTTTACCGCTCTCCGATTACTTCAAAAACATCTTTCTTTGTCTGTGTTGAGGCATACTTCAAAAACGGGAGATCCTGAGCGGTTGGATATCTAAAATGTGAGCGATTGGATAACTAAACATTTTAGCAACTTGCATCGATGACTTACTTTCTTTTGCTTTCAAAGAGTTGTCCTTGTGCGAGAGTGAAAAGCGCAAATGATATCAAAATGTACCGCATTGTGACTAGAAAAAGTTATTTGACACGTTCATTAGGGAATCAGAATCGTTTTCATTAATAGAATGGTTCCTCATTGAAGTGGGAACTAAAAATGGGCGAATGTGGAAAAGAAAGCAAATAAAGTCGATTCAGAGAGTCGTTGACAGCTCTGATCACCCGGACAGGCTTTGGGAAAAGGTTTTCAAAAAAAAAATGCTTCTCTTTCAATGATTACTTATTGTTAAGGATACTGTAAAGTCCTGTCTCACTATAGTATAACAAAAAAAGCATTTAGCCGACTGAACCGACTCATCTATGGCAACAAAAAAGTGTAAAAGACTTCACTAAAGCAACATCAGAGTCCGAAAAAAAATGATTTTGGAATTGAAGAAGCTGAAGAAAAAAAAACTAGGCGTCTACAACGTGAAAGTTCTCCATCAAAAGATGGGGAATGAATCGAGTCACTCTTTCTTTTTTTTCACCTCCCCTTAGGCCTGTCCCCTGTCCTCAGATTTTGTCCCTCAATCGTGTTTACTCTCAGTCTTTCGAGTTCTGCTCCTCTATTCCAAAGGAGAGAAAATAAAACCCAAAAATCGGGGTCGAGTCAAACGAGTCCCAATGATTTGCGGAGTAGCGGTGCTTCCTGCTTTGGGTGTTGATTGAGAAATCGAGGTGACTCAGAAATTGATCTGCTATCTAGGGTTTTTTTGTGATTATCTTGGAGTTGGAGTTGTTGGAATTGCTTAAAGTTATCACTGTATCAATCTTATACAAGTTTATTTTCAAAAAAGTACAAAAATTTGCTAGAATTTGCGAAGAAATTCTTTTTATGCGACAAAAAAGGTCCAAAAAGGTCCAAAAAGGTTCAAAAAAGGTCAATAAAGGTCTAACACTTTAGGTCCAGTCTAAGATTTGTTAGATTTATTTTTTCTGTCACGTAGATATATTTTAAAGGTATTATTTTTATTTCATTTAAACATTATCAAACCTACATATATATTTCTTTCAATGGATAATTTGACGTTGACAAACGGGAACAACTTCTTAGGAACAAGGTGAAAACTAAAGCGTGCCCTTCTACCGTACCCTTTCTCTGTTTTGAGCTAAAAGTAAAGAGAAAGCGAGTGATTTCCCTTGCTTTCAAGTTCGCTCGGTGATTCATTTCAAGAGTGTCCTTATCCTTTTCCTTTTCGATTTCATGATCATGGTGAGATGAGCGTCGACAAGTTGATTGACGATGCCCGACCGATTATTCAACGAGCCGTTCAACTCGATCGAGCACAACACCATGAAGATGCTGCAAACGCTTATATGGAATCTGTCGACGTTCTACTTTCGGCTCTGAAATTGATGGACGATACGGATAAGAGGAAGGAGCAACTACGTAAAACCACGGCCGAGTATATGAGTCGAGCGGAGACGATATTTCCGAGAAGAACGCTGAAGGTGATCGAAGCAAAGCAGAGACGAATCACCGCTGGAAGTGTTGGACATGGATATGATCGGGTATTTGGAAACTGTCTAGATGATAAGTTGACGAAAATCGAGATCTTCGATGCTTATGTTTCGGCTCATCATCAAGTGATCAATTTCTTGCGTTTTTGCGAGTTAGTTGTCAGCCGAGCTCCAAATGTAAAAGTCATTAAGTTGACGACAGGTGTTGACGCTAAAAACCAAGCGCACGCCTCACTAATGGAAATCGCGGCAAGTCTCAAAGAGAAAAACGTGCAGTTGAGTCTCGAATTCAGTCAAACGATTCACGATCGAGAAATCAAGTTCAACAATGGTTGGATCGTCAAGATTGGACGCGGTTTGGATTATTTTCGACGGGTAGACAAATTTGCGCTCGGCTCTTTCGACCAAAATTTACGTCCATGTCACGAAACGGTTATTGATATTTTAAAGGTTGATCCAAGAACAATGTGATATTTAGTTAATTAGGTATGATCTTTTTCGAGTTTACCTCTTTTTCCTCCTATGCCTAATCTTTTCAAATATTTTATGCTGCAAATTTTTTCATGTCTCTGATAAATAAGAGTGTTTATTTTCAGATAATGGACTTTCTATTTGGGCGACGAAAAACACCGGCCGAGCTTTTGAGGCAAAATCAACGGGCACTCAATAAGGTAACTTTTTGTCCACTTGATTGCAATTAAATTCTCTCTTTAGGCAATCCGCGAATTGGATCGGGAAAAGAGTCGAATGGAGATGCAAGAAAAGAAAGTGATTGCTGAAATCAAGAAAATGGCGAAGATGAATCAAATGGTAATTTGATAGTTTTAAACACCAAGCACCATTTTTTAGGACTCCGTGAAGGTGATGGCCAAGGATCTTGTGAGAACGCGACGATACATCAAAAAGTTCATCGTGATGAAGGCGAATATTCAAGTAAAGAGTTTTTCTTGCCCTCTAACAATTAAAATGCTTTAGGCAGTATCTCTAAAAGTGCAGACATTGAAAAGTCAAGATGCGATGGCCCAAGCGATGAAAGGTGTCACCAAGGCAATGCGCAGCATGAACAAGCAGGTAGAGATTGTTAAAATCAACATTTTATTATTTTGATTTAGATGAATCTCCCTCAAATTCAACAAATCATGATGGAATTCGAGAAACAAAGCGAAATTATGGATATGAAGGTATTTTATTGAAGCATTTTTATGATTTCCGAGTTTTAGGAAGAAATCATGGGAGATGCGATCGATGACGCCCTCGGTGATGCAGAGGATGATGAGGAAAGTGATCAAATTGTGAATCAGGTTTGATTTTAATTTAAAAATTCTATCAGATTAGTGTTTATCAGTTTTATCAAAATTGTTTTAGCGTTACCTAATGGTTATTGATATTTTACAAAATATTTATTGTAGGTCCTTGACGAACTCGGAATTCAAATGGGAGAAGAACTTGGCGGTTTGGCGGCTCCTTCTGGCCGAGTAAGTGTTTTGATGTTTTTAAAGCACAATGAAAGTACTTTGATAAACTAGCTATTTGTTTTTAGAAAATACTATTAAAGTAATAGCTAAATGATGATTAAACCTTTTGTTGCAATAAATTTATTTATCTTGTTTTAGATCGGCGTTAACGAAGGTGCTGGTGCGTCTCGTCAACCGGTGGCTGCTGGTGGAAGTGGTGGTGGACATGATATCGACGATGATCTTCAAGCTCGATTGGATCAATTGAGAAGGGAATAATACTTCTGGCAAGTTCATTACCCCACCTTTTTTTTATATTGCCTTCAACTATGTCATTGTATTTAATCATTAATTTTATATTGTCATTATTGTCATCATTAAACTTTTCTTTTTCCTTTTACGTGTATAAGACCGCTCTTCATTTTATAGCAAGAAATTTCTGATTTTTTAAGCGTTGTTCTTGTACAGAATTCCCGTTTGCTCTTTATGCGTTACTAGAACTGTGATTTAAAATGCGACTTTTGAGTTTGTTTCATTTCTTCGAGCGAACATTAATAAAAATGTGACAAAAATAAATTTATCGTGAAAAGAACACATCTGTTGACTCGTATTTTGGGGTATGACTTAGGAGAGCTATGAGATTTGCGAATGTACAAGGTGAAAAAGCTATGGAAAAAAGAATATAATCATGCCAAACAAATGCATTGCGAATAGAATGAGAAGAGGAAAGATATTGGGTAGGGGAGAGCTCATTGAAACGTTTCCACCAAGAAAGGTATCCCATCACCGAATTATTTACTGAAATTGTTTGGTTTTTTCCTTTTTTTAAATGTCATTTTACCCATTGAGCATGTTGTTGTTGCTCGGTTGGATAGTGTGGATCGGTGGCAAGGGAACCGTTTGTTGGTGGTGGGTAGACGGATGGTTTATGTTGTTGGATGTAGGCAGAGGATCCCTGAAATCCATTGTAAACTGTTACTATAGTTTTGTACTATCAAAGCTAGTCCTGCAGCCAGGCCGGGACCCGCTACAACACTTTCTCTTCTACACTCACCCCTGGAGCGAGATGACATTGGCTCCGAGCTGTTGCTGAGCCATCCGCTGTGATTGTGGGTGCTTGTTGTCCATACCCGTCAGATTGACAATTCCCATAATGGACTGATGATAGAGGGGCTGATGGAGGGATGCCACCGGTGGAGGACAGACACTCGTCGTATTGGAGAAGCTCGCTGAATCTATGGTCAAAAGCTATACATTTTTCGTTTACCCATTGGATGATCGATAGTAATCGGCAAATGTGGCTGGGGGTGGTGGTGGGACGACGAGATTTGGTGGTGGATGGGCTGGTGGGTTTGTTGAGAGATGGAACGGGGCACATGGGGAACGACCGGGTTGTGCGCTGTTGTTGTTGCTTGGCTGACCGGCAGACACAACACTCCAACTGGAAATTTTTGATTTTTTGATGCATATTGTAGTGCTCATGTTTACAATTACAAGCAGAGTTGTTTGAAAAGTAATTTCTCCGAGCAAGTCCATGCAAGGCAAGAGCAGAAGTCTGATTCTGATTTTGCTGGCCCAAAAAAGCTCTTATGACCGCCAGAAGCCGGAGTTTGGCCTTGCCTTGCTTTGGCTAACTTGGCTTATAGACTCTAGAATCCAGTGAACATCCCTGCAAGTATAAGTACTGTAAAGTGCTATATTCTAGGCTTGGTATCGTTATCCATTAATTCATTCATCCATTCAATCAACCATTGTACTCACCCTCCGTTTCCACTCCCTGTTCCATCGTACACCCGGCGGCGCTTTGCTCGTGCATTTTGCGCAACCTGAAACTCATTTTTAGATATGTAAATCCTTTGTCACTACAAATGCTCACAGTACAACAGATTCTTTACTATTTTCACGACTACAACAATATTCTTTACCATCCCATCGTTTTCATCGTTATTTTGGCTACAGTGGTGATAACTGGAGTGAATTCTGGTAAGAAAGCGAGAAAGCTTTCTCAAGAATAAAGCCTGATAAAAGACTTACTTGATGCGGCTTTGTCGCATGAAATTCTGGATTTTCCTAGCGGCTGCTTGTCGTTTTCGGTGTCGATGATCTCGGTATGATCGTTGAATTGTCACTGCTGCTCGATTCTCGCGCCATAGATTTGAGGAATTTGGCGGGATCTGGAATTTTCCTTTTGCAAATAGATTTAAGAGCATAGTTTTGGGTTTAACTCTAACTAAGAACCAATTAAGATGCCGTAAGCCAATCCAAGCCTCATTTTAAAAAAACCCTTGTAGATACGGTAGTATTTGTATCTACTTTAAAACTCTTTTCGATACCGTAGCCCAATTCGGGCCTTACTGTAGCTTTCGTAGCTACCGTAAGCTCTTGTAACTCTCGTAGCTACCGTGAGCGAACTAAAGGCTTATTTTGAAAGCTTTAAAAACTCTCATAAGATACCGTCAGCCAACTCAAGGTGCTGGTATATCTTCTGGTTTTCACTAACTGCCACAAAAGCTTTCCCATTGAATTCTCCTTCCCCAATTCCCTTGTCTTTTCAAGTTATGATTCATTGCTTTCTTTTGTTCGAAAATGTTCATTGAAACGGGTTTCTCTTTCGCCTTTTCCAAGCGATGACGGAGGAATGGGCTCTACGTGGAATTGTCAGCTCTCGCGACAGTTGGCCACCCTCACTTTCTCCTCCACGAAGTGATGGACCCTTTCTGCGCTCAACTTCTCTAAATTATCCCCACCGGGTCACACACTTGACGCTTGAAATAGCCGCCGGAAGTTGGTGAAATTGAAAAAACGTTTTGGTGTTTGGTTACCACGTGAGTTATTGCTAGATCTATTGATTGAGAGCATAGATGAGCAAAAAAATGAACAACAAGTCTCAAATTTGCTCTGTAACCAAAAAATGAGAGATTGGGTGCGCTAGAAAGGGTGCGTTTAAACGTTCAGCACACCGCAAAAATATTTAAGGTCACAACCTCTTTAGAATTTAGAGAAGAAAGGCGGTGTCCAAAATTTACCTCATCATACAAAAACCTCGGTAAGCACATCGTTGAAAGAGCGTCTTTGTCGTTGAAAATATTCGAGGAATGAGAAATAGACAGCGGAATGGTGATGGAGGAGTGTTTGTTGTTGAAATGTTTATTGTTGAAAGTCTATCAACAAGTCCCACCCAGTATCACAGAGTGATTTGCATAAATCGAATGATTCAAGTCAATCGGTCAACGTCTGACTAAACCATCAAAAGGGTTATTCAGAAAATAGAAAATAAAAACAAAGAGTTCAATGCGAAAGCAACAAGAAAACGTTTGACGTAGTTAGAATAATCGAAAATTTTTTGTCAAAATTGCCAACGGGTTCACCACTTTTTCACACAAGGTAACGCGTGAAAAAGTGCTTGTAATGAGGCTGTAAATGGGGAAAAGGGAAAGAGGAGAGGAGGAGGGCAGTGATAAGAAGGGAAGTGATAGGGGAAATATGTGGAAGGAATTCCCGGAATATCTTTTAGCAATCGAGTTTTCGATGGCTCAAGAGTTCAAGGATTGAGAGCTCAAGGATTTGGGAATACGAAGGGCTAAAAGAGCTTGCTTGCATCCAATTGAAGCCTTTAATTGGATTCAATGAATGGATAGACTAGATTTGGGTGACAGTACTACTTTATCTATACAAAAGGCTGACAAGTCAAGATATTCCGTTTTCTTTGCATTTACCAGTCGACTGAATATCTTAAGTTGGAAAGCTGAAGTTGGAAAGCTTAAGTTGGAATGCTGAAGTTGGAAAGCTTAAGTTGGAATGCTGAAGTTGGAAAGCTTAAGTTGGAATGCTGAAGTCATTGGGCTGAAGTAGACTGACTGAGTTGGAAAGCTAGTTGGTCTGGTTGGACTAAGTTGGAATGCTGAAGTTGGAAAGCTTAAGTTGGAATGCTGAAGTTGGAAAGCTGAAGTTGGAATGCTGAAGTTGGAAAGCTTAAGTTGAATATCTTAAGTTGAATATCTTAAGTTGGAAAGCTTAAGTTGAATATCTTAAGTTGGAAAGCTTAATTTCTGCAAGCAATAGATTCAGAAAGTTTCGTAAACGTTTTCAAATATCAAATCGCTTTTAAAAAAGATTGCTGGCAATTCGGGAGGAGGTTTGCAGAAGAATCGTTTGACCGTTCTCAAAATCTCACACGCTTCAGAGGCAAAAAAAGGGTAAGAGGGGAAAAGAGGGATTGGGCGGAGTTACCTGGAAATTTGAGGCTTTTGAAAAGAGAAAAATAGAACGGAGACGAGAAATGAGAAGATTTCAGGTAAAGGAGAGATGGGATGGGGATAGGTAAGCGATGAGATCTCTCAGAGAGGGAGACTCGACACACCGATGACGCAAATCGCTCGGGTCTGAAGGGTCACTGCGGGTCGAGAGGAGGGACAGACAAACCATCGCCCACAAAAAAGTGCTTTGTCTATTCTATTCTTTGATCTAAATATGGTAAGCCTAGAACTGGAGAACTAGGTGATCTTGTTAAGCTTAAACCAAAGGATCCATCATCATTGAAGTCATCATTGCAGCCATCATTCTATCATCATCATCATCAGAACTTCATTTTTCCTATTTGAGAGTTGGTGATAGTATTCTACAAGTCTTACTTGCTTTACTTAGATCAAAGCACTAACTTCTTTGGGTTCTTTGGGTTCTTTTTGAACCTTGAATGATACTGCAATGATGACTTCAATGATGATGGATTCTTTGGTTCAAGCTTAACAAGATCACCTAGTTTCTCCAGTTCTAGCCTTATCGTACTTGACCATACGTTTATATGTTGTGTCCGATTTAGATTTCCGTCCGATATAGATTCAATCTAAATCGGACGTCCGATATAGACTGTAATCTAAATCGGACGTCCGCGATAAGTTCAATCTAAGTCGGACGGAAATCTAAATAGGACACAACATATATACCAATCAGAGATCAAGAACGGGCTGTTGATTTGTGATCAGTGCAATTGCAAGAGAAACAAGGCAATGTTGAGTCAAAAGAAGTAAGTGACCCGTTTGTTTCTCAGCTTATCCCCCCTTCACTCATCTCATTATTACTGTGAAAGACAAGAGGAAAAGAGAAAAGAGAAAAGAGAGTTGCAACCCAAGTCGATGAGTGACTGGTTGGGAACGTCTCTTACAACATTTGACCCTCATTATCCGGTGATTTCTCCGAATATGTGATGACGTCATTTCAGCAAATGTATGAAATTACATGAACTGTTCACTCTCTTTAAAACTCTGGACTTGAGGGTTTAAAAGAAAAGATTATAGAGAATTTCAAATTCTTATCAAAGGGAAAATTGTCGTAAACAGCTGGCATAATTCTTGAGTTGAAAGTTGAATGAAACTCAATGAGAGTGTTTTAACCAGCGCTGTTAGGGTTGGACTTGGTTGGGTCTGCAAAGCAAGTCAAGTAAAGCAAGCCAAAGCTAGAGCCCAAGAAGGCAGGCCCAAACTTGTATGCTTTTTGTGGGCAGATTCCGGTATAAACTTTTTAGCTAAACAATCGGTAATATTCAGATAAAGACTATAGTTTTAATGGAAGAGATCATTGAAGGACTTTGGAATAGATAAGTGGGGGAAAGTGGAGGAACTGAAGGGATGATTTCATCCATTTCTCGACATTGAACTCCTTTCTTTTCTTTTCTTTTCTTTTTTTAACAATCATCAAATGGAATCCGATTTCAGAAGACTTTTCTACACGTTATCGCGATAGAAGAGTGACTTTAAAAGGCAAATGGCATTAATGGCATTAATGGCAAAGGCAAATCATCACTCGAACAAAAGTTTTTTGAAGAAAAATAAGAGTGAGTTGTTTGAAAAGAATTGGAATTGTTAAAAAAACAAAAAGTTGCTTGATTGCAGAAAGAAGAACACATTGAGATTGCATTTTGAGTATAAATGATGTTGTGAAACGAATAATGAAACTCAATGAGAGTGTTTTAACCAGCGCTGTTAACCACATGAGAGTGTTTTAACCAGCGTCTATAATTTTTTGACAGAGTGTAGAATGGCTCGAATGGCGCTAGTCTAACAGAAGCGCTAGTCCCCAACGCAAGCGCTAGTCTAACAAGCGCTAGTCTAACAAGCGCTAGTCTCACAAGCGCTAGTCTAACAAGCGCTAGTCTGGCAAGCGCTAAGTCTAACAAGTTTTTCACGAAAAGCGCTAGTCTAACAAAGCGCTAGATCTCTGGCCTTCAGTCTAACAAGCGCTAGTCTAACAAGCGCTAGTCTAACAACTGCTAGTCTAACAACTGCTAGTCATTGGCGCTAGTCTAACAAGCGCGTTTTATCCTCAAATAGAATCGTTAGAGATAAACGTACAGTAATTTTGAAGTAAAAGAAATGAAAAAACTATCTGATTCTTCATTCACTACATTTATAACCTTGAGAACAGTTCCCCAATGTATCAACGAAAAAAGGAATTACAATGTATCAAGATTTGGGAGCAGTTTTTTGAAATAATTGAAGATTTTTAAAGGAGTAAAAATCATTAGCAATTGCTGAAATTTTAGCTAAAAAGTGTACAGTGTGATTGGTTTTGAAAATTTCTGAGTCTTTGAAAAGAAAATCAAAATGAATTTGAGACATTTGAGACATTGGAGACTCAATGTTTGAAAGTTTATCTTCCCATTAAGATAGACCAAGAGTTTTGTTTGAGAAAAGAAAAAGTAGAAAAAAATGAGGAAGGGGATACTCGGAAGTGACGCCCATTTTAGGCAACGGGAATCTGAATTTCTCGTGATTTTTGAAAGAATCGTCATCAGATCGTGATTGAACTTGGAAGATAACAAAAATTCAGACCGCACAATTAGTTAGAAAATAAGAATAAATAAGAATTGATAACGAGAATAGATTTGGCAGATCTAGGGTCTGCAGAGCAAAGCTAGAACCTGGTCTCACCCGGGAAATGCCACAGCACCCCAGGGACAACCCAGCAAGGATTTACAAAAAGCATTATGTGACATTTTTTCCTTCTCTTCCCTCCTGTATTTTCCTCTTTCTTCTCTGGCAAGAGACTAGAGAATAGATAATGGATTAGAGCAAATGCAAATCAATGGATTGAAACCAAAAAGCAAAAGGTCGAGGGGTTCAATCCCCTCTCAGGAAATTATACTTACCCGACTCTTACTTTACTTTTATTTGACATGCTCTTTATATGTCTTAATATACAGAATCTGGCTTTCGTATTAAGCCAAAAATCAATAACAATATCTAAATAAAATAAAACAAATCCTAAGTGGATAAAAACTGGCAAACTATCAAGAGATTTGGGGGAATTTCGTAGAGGTGAGAAAAAGAGGGCGGGAGAAAGGAAGGAAGAAGGGAAAGGAAGGAAGAAAGGAAAGAGAAGAAAGAGAGGAAGGAAAGAAAGGAAGAAAGGAAAGAAAATTGAATGAGGGGGAAATCAAAGGACCAGTTAGGGAGGGGATTGAGAGAAAAAGCTGGAAGAATGAAAAAGGTATGGGAAGAGTGAAGATTGGCAAATGTGGTCATATTAACCAGGAAGAGGGATGGTGATGAGTACCCCGACAGCCCCTTCTGCTCTTTCAATAGTTGAAACTAGACGATGGATGGATTCGAGAAGTGAAAATGGAACACCTCACTTCCCGAAAATGAATTGATTAAGGTTTCAATGAGCAACCCACATTTCTAAAAGGAGTATTTTAGCTTTAAAACTACTGTAGTCAAGCTGTCGTTTCCACCCAAACAGCCCCATTTTGGTATCATTCGACGAGGAATCCAAGGCTCGCAGAGAACAAAATTGGACCGGTGAATGAAAACTGGCGGTTTTGATTTGAAAAAACCAAAACTCCCGGTTTGATTTGTTAAAATTGTTAGAATTTGTTAGTTTGAATTTGTGTTGATTGGCTAAGTGCCTTTTAGAAAACGAATTGAGCAGAGAACAAGCCGGAGACTAAGCAAGAGAACAAGCAGAGAGGACACAAGAGAACAAACAAAGGCAAACAGAGAACAAACAAGAGAACAAACAAAGAGAACAAGCAAGAGGGAACAAGCAAGAGAACAAACAAGAGGAACAAGAAGCAAGGGAACAACAAACAGAGACAAGCAAGACAAACACCAGAACAAGCAAGAGAGACAACCCTAGTATGAGCGAGGGATAAATCCAGGGGACAAGCTGTGATTAAAAATTTCATCTACTGGGAGTCTTGTCATCAAATAAACTATCAGTAGAGACAACAAAAACCAATTTCATAACTAAACTGTTGCCTTGGTTTGGTTGTTTTGACTAGCTGATCCCAAGTATCGAGCCCCCTATCCTCCCCCCGGGGAAACAGTGGGGTGGCAGTAAGATCAAGTAGTTCTTTCTCTTATGTGCTTGTATTCCTCTAGATTAGAAATCTTAACTTTCAAATTCTCTTCCCCAAGCCTTTTGCCCCAGTTCTCAATTAATATTCTCTTGCGTGATTCAATTCTTTTTTTTTCCCTCAGCTCACTCGGATATTCTCGACCTATTGAAAGCGCCCGAAAATCCCTACGATGGCATAAGAATTTCTAGTGAAATCGGTGCAGACAAGAAAAAAAGACGGCTCCAGAAATTGGAATGAAGTTGAAGAAAAGAAATGACAAGCGCTTCTGAGAAAAGGATAAAGTTAATCCAATAAAGAAAGGTGGATTGCGTTAAACTGAAGATTGCGTCAAACTGAAGATCGCATCTTCATTTTGCACTCAAGTCATCGAATAAATGTTTGCGTAGGTTCAAGGTCAGAAAATCCATGGATGAATTGAGGAGCCGATTCCCAGGTCAAGCTCAACCAAACGGACTATAAAGCCAAATTTAAAATAATTTAAATAATCTCAAAGTTTCCATTTGGAAATCCCAATGTCAAGAAACAAATTTTTTGATTTTTGCCTTGTGCTTGGCTTGATCAGCCATGGCTTTTGGTCTTTTATGGGATAACAATTCTTGTTATCCACCAATTGGATAACAATTCTTAGATTAATTCTTAGATTAATTAATTCTAAAAAGTTTCTTTTTGATTAACATTGATAAAGTTCAGTTATTTGACAAATAGAATGATTGAGATTTTTTTACGGGCAAGCGGGGATATTTTGATTTAAGAGTAAGATGAACTACCGTATTTCTCTATATAGTCACCCCCGGCGAGCCGGATTGGTAACGATTTGACGGTTTCCAAGCTTTTGCAGAACACAACACCTCAAATCCTCCACTAGATCTCATCGTCATTTCATTTTCCGACCGCACATCGATGAGTTCTGATAAGCGCTCTCGAGATTTCCGAGCAATTTAGGTGACGCTCGGGGTGCACTACTATTAGAGAATACGGTATATAAGCTTGTTAAATGATAATATATAATATGATTAATATGTTATATGATTCGATAACAGCTTTACATATCTGAATTAATCAAATTAGACGCTAGAAAACTGAAAAGAGCTAAAGCAAAAGCGAAAAGAGCTGCAACAATACAATTGATGTCTTAAAACAAAAAGCAAACTTTGTCTCAACAGGCTACAAATTTCTAAAAGCATATTTCCCTGGAAAAGCAAAGTATTTATTATTAAAAAGACATTCTCCCCCCCCCATCAATTATATTTAATCTAAAGAGTCCAAATGAAAGCGAGAAGGAAAGCCACCGAGAAAACTCTCTCCTATCTTATCTCTTCCCTCTTCTCTCCATTTGTGGTTGTGTACAGGAAGAACGATTGTTGACGTACTGTCTTTTCATTCTATCAAAGCACATGCCCAGTATCAGTTCCCCATTTCACTTTCAGGACAACATCCTGTTTCGAAATATAATCCAGCGGTAGCTTAATAACTGATGAAATGATTGAGAGAAAATAAAGCGCGTTTTTTGGGTGTAATAACTTATTACATTCTACAAGAAATAGCAACTATCGATCAGTCAGACATTCTCGATTTTAGCATTTTATCGATGACTTCTTCCTCACTCCTCACTTCTTCATTCCATTTGTGAAAATTCGGAATTTTTTGAGCCAAAATAGTTCTCGACCACTTTTTTTTGACTTTTGTATGATCATCGAACTTTTTCGAATAGAAAAACTGTTTCAGGGACCAAAACAAAAAGTAATTTGACAGGGCTAAGTACTTAGTAAGACGCATGAGGAAGAGCATGACCCTGGAGGAAGAGCATGAGGAGAGCATGAGGAAGAGCATGAGGAAGAGCATGAGGAAGAGCATGAGGAAGAGCATGAGGAAAAGCATGAGGAAGAGCATGAGAAAAAGCATGAGGAAAAGCATGAGGAAAAGCATGAGGAAGAGCAGGAAGAAGCAACTTCTACTCAAGCTCGTCAATTTTTTGCCAGTGACTTTGTGGGGTTTCGTGTTGTAGTACATAAATCGAATCTTTAATGCATGGATTGAGCCTCAATTTCTTTAAAGCATCGTTAACTTTAGTCAGTTGTTTTGGAGAGGTCAGCATCACAATGTTTTCTCCTGGATTAGCTAACTCTTAGTGCACCAAATCTTTTTTGAGTTCCATCAGTTCCACAGAGCATTATTTTCTTTCCATGAGGATCGAGCTTTGGGAGTGGTTTGAGGGGTTTGTTTGGTAGATAGCCATTGGCTCTTCCTGTTGACATTCTTTTGCCATAATTAATCCAAGTTTCATCAGATGTTAAAGTCGATGCCAGAAACCACTTGAATTTATGGAGCAAAGAAAGAGCTGACGTTGACACGAGTTGTTTTGTTGTCTTGAGTCAATTCATGCAGAACCCATTTTCGATAGGGGACTCTTTTTCTCGAGCATGCGTCAAATGGTTGTCGATTGTTTTCTGATCAACATCAAATATTTCTGCAGCTCGCAAGTCGCGAGTGTTGGGTTGGTTCAATTTTAATAATTCCCCAATGCGAAACTCAAAGGCATTAATGTTTTTCCTCAACCTAATACAGGCGACTCTTGGTTTGGCATGATTTGCTAGGGACCAAAAATTTCGATTTAACGATTCTGCCCCAAATTTCTTGCGTAGTTGCTCTGAACAGCCAACGATTGCATTGGTTGGGCAGCTACGCAGAAACCTGAACAGCCAACGATTGCATTGGCTGGGCAGCTACGCAGAAACCTGAACAGCCAACGATTGCATTGGTTGGGCAGCTACGCAGAAACCTGAACACAGATTCATTTTGCCGAAACACCACACAACCACCGAACAGCCAACGATTGCATTGGCTGGGCAGCTACGCAGAGTGACTTTATGAGACAATAGCGTTTTTCAATCAATAAGCTAATAGAGCTTGCCAAACAGATCCCAATACCACAGCTCAGCAGTAGAACTAAACTTTCCTAGCCATCAACCCCACCTGTATCCGAATGCTTCTCCCATCCACCGTTGGATGATCGGGTAAAGCGATCCGCGACTCGATCCGAGCTCTCAACGCTTCCCGATTGATCCTTTTTCTTCATTCGGAAATGCTTCTGCACGAGGATCGCCGCGTTGTACAAACGTTTGAAGTATTGGAACTGAAATCAGACAATTGTTTAAGGCGGAATTCAGATTTTAGTACTCACGAGTTTCTAACTAAGAGTCTTTAATGCACTTCAAAACAGTTTCCTAGTCAAGATTGATCCGCTAACTTGATTCTTTGGTCTTTCAGCTATTATTCAATCCACTCTCTTCGCATATTTTGTAGTTGTGTATGTGTTCTTTCACTCCTACCAGTATTCTCCAGAAAAAAACACTCAATTCCGCTGCTCGATTTCCCCTTTCATATTCTTCGCATTTTCCTTTCACCTGGCACAAAAAGTGTAACGGCAATACCACGGCAATACTAGCTTTTCTCGGCTTTCCCCTTTTTTCAAAAATCCTTTTTCTTCTTCTCGTTAAACGTGGAAATTAACTCTTTCTTTTTCAATAAAGCACTCCGGTGTAAAACGCAAAAATTAGACACGTTTTGGGAGTATTTAAAGTTAAAAGGGGCTTTAAAGTAAAGGGCTTTTTAAAGTTTTTTTGAATCTAAACTTCTCGACCTTTTTTTTTTTTGCTTACTGGCACCTGAAACCTCCTTCAATCTTGATTAGATTGAATCTAATCTTGATCTTGATTAGAATTTGGCTCACAAGATGCTTTAAACGAACAGAAACAAACAAGATGCTTTAAACGAACAGATATTCAGTCATGGTTATTTCTTTTTCATATTCATTGCCTGAGTTTGAACGCTACACGTAATTTGTGGTCAAGTAAAAGAGTAATCGGGAATTTTCTTTGCAGCAATCCAAATCCCCTTTTCCTCCCATTCTTTTCCGGTGAATTTCTGTGTTTCAGGAACAGTGTAAAGCTCTCTTTTCTGCTCTTACGTGTGAATGGACTCCAAACCGTCTCTCCAATGATCATCCCATCCATTTCTTTTCCCATTCTTTTCTCATATTCTTTTTCTTCATTCATTTCATCTTTTCCCCACTTCTCAACTCCTTCGAGTTCACCACCTCACCACGTCAATCTCTTTTTCTCTCTGTCATTGAACAAGTTTTCTTTGGTTCAATGGTTTGGGAAAGCCTTTTGGAAGTGTTTTGGTGGATTAGATTTTAGAATTGCTTTTTTTTGATAACGGGGCAGATCCGCAAGATTAGGTAGCAAGGTTGGCTTTCAAACTTGACTTGGGATTCGTTAAGGTCGAAACTTTCAAAGCCAAGAGCAAGCATTGACTCAGCTTTGGTCTGGCTTATAGTTAGCCTGGAAAGCGGAATCAGCATGAATCACCATAATGTATCGGTTCCTTCAATTGCACTTTATCGAACTTTTCTTACTCTACCGTATTCTGGAGAACTCTTCATTAGATTTTGATTAAGTATAAGTAAATATTTACTATGTAAGCTAATGATTAGTTTCAGGATCAAAAGCTGAGTCAATGCTTGCTCTTGGCTTTGGTTCGACCTTGGCAGATCCAAAGCCAAGTTTTAAAAGCCAACCTTGCTACCTAATCTTGTGGATCTGCTCTTGCTCTTGCTCTAATAAAAAGTTCTCCAGAATACGGTAAATAATAATATATTACATATCATTCAATTCAATAATAGCTTCGCTTTAAACCGACCGCTTTATATCGCCGATAGAAACTCTGAATTGTGATCGCCGCATTACGCTCGGCTTCCGCATGTGGAGCCGAACTCGTCTTCGAGCACTGAAATTCTGTCAATTAATAAAAAAAGACAACAGCATTTCAAGGATGAGTTTATAATATTTAAGAGCTATAAGTGAAGTGCTTGGTAACTTTTATTATTACAAATCCACACCGATACTCCCGATAAGCCCTTTGAATGGTTTTCGCCGCTTCGTACACGTCACGTTGCTCGCTCTCTGAAGAGTAACAGATAAAAGCAATGATTCTACATAATTATAATTTTCTAGGTTGATATGAATAGCACATTGGCGTCTACTTTTTATCAGATTGACTCTCAAAACAAACCCGATAACTTCAGATCTCCCAGCTGTTGCTGTAAAGGGCCGATCTCAGTTGTCGCCTCGCTGTTGAGGAATTCGCCCAAATCTTTGGAACTAAATTTGATAAATTAATACTGTAGCTGATAATACAGTAATACTGTAACTGATAAAGCTTTTAGAAAACCCTACTTATCAAGGTCGAAGCTACCGGATTCGAAAGTGGTCGCGCGAGATGAGGGAAACGATTCCCGTCCGCCGAATGGATACAAATGAGACACCGATCTTCTAAAAAGTAGAAAAGATATCAAAAGATGAGAGCAAATTAAGCACTCCTAATACTAATATACGAATACAACTTTGTTGCTTTTTATTTTAAAGTTTAGGCTTATACCTGAATGTCGGAGAGTGATTGATGCTCATCCCGTCATCCGAGGGGATCGTTTTTGTGCTGAAACTTTGGGGATTTCAAAATATTTCAACGATTTTCTTACCTGAAACTATTTTGGTGTGATGTGGATGGACCAAAATGAAGATTCATATAATCATCAAGCTCAGGTACAACAAAACCATTCGAGGAGAACATTGGCGATTCGCCGGCAAATGAGAAACCGTGATGAGCCTGGGGGAATTTCTTGATCGATAGATTGAAGAGTTTTTGAGTTCAGTTATGCACTCGTCTTGCTATTAAAGTGATTTTCTCTCACTTGATGATCATCCAGGGAATGCATTTGCGCGTTGTTCTGCGGTGGATCGGCTTTAATCCTTTCGGGCAACGCGTCAATGATGTGCTGCGCGAGTTGAGCCATTTTCTCGCGAACGCAATCATTCACGAAAACGCCAGGGCTAAAAGATCGATATCTAAACAAAAAAAGTCGATCTTTTCTCTACCTAGTCACCGCATCAAAGAGATCAGCCATTTTTGGCGAATCGGGCACATGAACGTCGGCTGTGTCCATCGAGATCTCGACATGAATCGGCTCACAGTCTTTCCAATCGTGGCTTTTCTCTAAAGTTGAGCAAATACCGTATTTTCTCTAATAGTAGTGCACCCTGAGCGTCGCCTAAATTCCTCGATATCTCGAGAACCGCTTATCAGAACCTATTGATGTGGGGCCGGTAAATATAGCTGACGATGAGATCTAATAGGGGATTAGAGTGTTGAGTTTCTGGGAAAACTTTGGAAACCGTAAAATAGTCACCAACTCGGCTCGCCTGGGTGCACTACTATTAGAGAGAACCCGGTATGCTACAAGACTCAGTACAAAACTAAAGAAAGCTTTTTACGTACAGTGCCCAACGTTCAGGACGCAAGCACGGTATCCCACGACAAGTCCCGTAATACTGGCTGCCGTATTTTCTCTCTAATAGTAGCGCACCGGGGGTGTCGCCTAAATTCCTCGATATCTCGAGAACCGCCTATCAGAACCTATTGATGGCGGTCGGAAAATGTAGCTGACGCATGGCGATCTAACTGGTGGATTAGAGTGTTGAGCTTCTGCGAAAGCTGGGAAACCCGTAAAATCGTCACCAACTCGGCTCTCGGTTTGAGACGCAAAAATCTACTATTAGAGAGAATCCGGTATATTTAAACTGAATATTAAATGAATAACCATAGAAACCATTATTTTTCTCTGGGTCTCGAACTCCCCAGAATCCCCTTTCCTATCCCAGTCACCGCACAATCAAAGTTTTTGATAGCTTAAAAATGCTTTTTCTAAGCTTTTGCCCTCCGTTTTTCGAGTTTATTAAGTTTTTAAGCTTATAGCTATAAAGAAAGTTCATGAATTGGTTCGCAGGTAATTTTTTTTTCAATTTTTTTTGAAATTTTTTATTATGATACCAAAATTGGTTTGTATTGAAGAAAGTGTCCAAATTCAGCGATTTTGCTTCTCGTTTTGATTTTAAGCAGTTCGAGAGTGTTTTCATTTTTGTTTTTCTCTCTTTTGTCTTTTCTTCTTTCTAAATTCTCGAAAAATCTGGGGAAACAGTCCATTTCCAAGCAATTTCCCTGTAAGTCATTCTACAGAAACATTCCCCCCGATCTTTCAGAATAAATCCCCCAACCATCTGTCTCCCTTTCTATTAATCGTCGAAACGAAAAGGGGGGGAGGGGGGCATGATTTAAAAAAAAACGCTTGGAAACAATTTCAAAGATCAATATCCATATATCCGTCCCGTCATGTCCCCCATTTTATAATCCTTAAAACCTCCCCCCCTTGCTTACTTTAATCATCATCGGATTCGCCTCTCGTTCTCTCTCTTCGCGCAGACTTGCTGGTGAAGTTGATGAATGAACACTCTGAAAGGTTTACAAATCGAATTGACCGAGAGTTTATATTTAAAGCTATTAGGTTGTTCGGATATAAACGAGCGTTTGCACTGCTTAACTCGTGAGGACTGCGTTTGCACCTTTTTCCCATGAATGTCCGGTTTCACGGTCGGATTTGGCCGTTCTCCTGATCTCGTTTCCATTTCCATTTTCGAATAGTATTATCGAAATGGATTCACTTCTCATCTCCAGTAACGTGGGCATGGGGGTAGCGGGGATCTTTAGCGTGGTGGATGAGAATTCCGGTAATAGCGACTCGTGAAGCCTTGTTTGCACCTGGCTTAACCCGTGAGTGAGTCACTTCCCGTATCTGATCGCTTCTTCCAATGGCGTGGAGATCAATATTATTAAATTGAACATTGTTTTTGTTCCTGAGTTTGTTCGATAATGTCAGTTTGACATGGATCCGGTTCGATTGCAGCCCTCAAAATATCGTTGTCTACCACTTGAGGTCGACGAGAGTGTTCATTATCCTCGAGACTTTCATCACTTTCATTCGTCACCATTCCGAAAGCGTTGGAATCAGGCTCGGCATCGGCTTTCGGACAATACATTATTCCCAAATGCTTTGACCAAATCTCGATAGGATTCCGCGACTGTTTGGCCCAGTTTGAAGTCGTAAAGTAGGCAGACGATATATCGGTAGACGACGATCGGCAGACGATGTATCAACAACTTAATATCTCGGTCAAAGATCAAGAAAGAGATCAAAGATCTTAAAAATAAGAAATTATCTGTTTAAAAAGATTCCAAATATCCACAAGATAACGGACTTTTAAATAAAGAAAGACATTTTTTAAAAGCTTCTCTCACAACAATAAGTTTAGCAACTTGTTTGTTGTTGTTTACAGCACTTGAAGAACCTAATATTTCTATCTAGAAGTTTAGCAACTTGCTTGTTTGTTGTTTACAGCACTTGTTTATATCCGAAGAACCCAATATTTCTATCTATTGGGTTGGGGAGAATGAGTTTCGTCGGGGAAAATCTGAGTAATGCCTGGTACTTCTATTCGACTTCGTCAAATAATAAGGCAAGTCTGATATCAGCGGTGGAATGGTTAATTCACCTTCGGGACAAAATGACATTTAAAAGAAAATTCAAAACAGCGCCTCCGTTCAAGTGAAAGCCATTTTTTCACAAAAACTACAAACTGTGATCTAGAAAAAACCATTGGTGGGATCTTCCTGCAAATTTGGCAACTTAAGTAATTGAATGTGCTCTATCTTTTTTATATAAACACCAAAGAAGGTTTATGTGAAAGAAACTGTTCAAATGATGCGAGCTCTGGACTCTTTGCCATTGTAACCAGCTGCCTTTGGAAGTTCATAAACTCCACGAAAGAAAAGCTTTGTGGAATCTCTCAAAAGTCGTCTTGTAGAGAAATAGTGGATCCTTTTGATGAAACCAAACGTATGTTTAAAGAAGGCTTTATGTGTGCAAAAAGTCCCTTTAAAGTTCGGCGCCGACTCATTCTCCCCAACCCAATAGAACAAACCATTCGATTCATTTGTGTATCTTGTCTCCTTTCATCTGTAACCGTTTCCCCATTTGTGAAGACCCAAAGAGCCGTTGCAGCCATGTGCTCAGCGTCTTCCATACCTGAAAGATCAACTCGTTTTTGTTATAATAATTCAATTAATTTAATTGGCTTATGCTAGCTTTAACACAAATTCGATTATATAAAGACTTATATTATCACAAAAGTAATATTTTTTCCCCCATTTCACTGACTTGTCGGGATTCCACTCGTCTTTTCGACCTCCTCAAAGCGAGCGGTCAGCTTTGAAAGCCCGGGATCCGAGGTGAGATCTGATGGAGTTCTTCCACTAAAGTTCATTGATAATTTTCTCAACTTAACTCTCACCGATCATCGAGTACATCCACTGTGGCTCGACAAGCTTTCACAAGAACTTTGACGGTGCCGAAATTCCTTGCCTTTACGGCTAAATGAAGCGGAGTCGACCCTTCAGAGTCGCGACTCAATGGATCGAGTTCACGGGTGTACGGTAGAGAACGTCTGGAAAAAGCGATAAGAGTGATAATATGCATGGACTGAAGGGTTTTACCTCCACCATAAAAGATATTCAGTAAAACGGTGATAGTCGAGAGCGGCGGCTAAGTGGAGAAGCGTTCGCGAGGGGAGATTTCGATGAGGTTGCAAGAGGTGAGGATTTTTCTGTAAACAAGTTTCTTTAAAAGTCGAATTCTTTAACTAATAGGGTTTAAAGTTCATCTAAAGTTCATTTAAAGTTTATTTAACAATGACAAACCAGTTGATGTTGAAGGAGAGAGCGAACGATCGAAAGAAAAGTCTCCTCATTTAGTGTTGAGGTCGTTAAAGGCTGAAAGTCGGATTTGAATATATAATCGATATTATATCGATTTCTAGATTATCTAACTAACTAAATCCTTTCAATCATTACCGAATCATTCAAGAATTGAGGCACATTGAAGGCTGCTACAAAGAGTTGCATTCTGTCGACGAGCGATTGAATGTTGAGGTGAGTGCTGAAAGATTTCAATTTATATCTAAAGCAATTCCAAGATTATATCTAGAGTTTTTAGATCTAATTCTAGAAATAGCTTTGAGCTAACCTATTATCTGTATTTTCATCGATGTATGTGAATTCACACCCGGTCGAGGACACCATCGATCCATCGCAGAGTACTCGAACGCTGACTGTAGATGGTTCACGGACTGGAAAGCTTTAGATAGGGAATTAGATAGAGGATTAGATAGGGAATTAGATAGAGGATTAGATAGAGGATTAGATAGAGGATTAGATAGAGGATTAGATAGAGGATTAGATAGGGAATTAGATAGAGAATTAGTTACAGAATTAGCTATAGAATTAGCTATAGAATTAGCTATAGAACTAGCTAAAGAATTAGCTAAAGAATTAGATATAGAATTAGCTACAGAATTAGCTATAGAATTAGCTATAGAATTAGATATAGAATTAGATATAGAATTAGCTATGGAATTAGTTACAGACTTAGCTACAGACTTAGCTACAGAATTAACTATAGACTTAGCTACAGAATTAGCTGCAGAATTAGCTACAGAATTAGCTATAGAACTATAATAAACATTAAAAAGATCTAGAATTAGAATTCTTTAATCCTTTTGTAATGCACTTTGAGCTCAAAATTCTAAACTCATCCTTTCTGGTTGCACTGAATCCCCTTTTCTTATTGATTTGAGAGAAAATCCGGTGTTTGTATACTTTTTTTAAACAAGAAAAAGATCAGGAAAGCTAAGAGTGAGCAAAGAGTTTGAAAACAAAACAAAACAAAAACAGAGCACAGAGTAAAACCAAATTTCTTCTCATTTCTCTATTGCTGTGATTGCATTTTGTAAGCTTTTCAAAAAGAATTAGAATTAGAATTAGAATTAAATAATATTCATATCCTGATTGAATTCTTGAATTGAATCAATTGAATCAATCAATTCAATGAAATTCTTGAAACGAAACTCGCTGGCGCTCTCACCATCAAGATTCTGACTTGGAGAAGCTGAGCGGGCACTCGCCGCTCTCCAAATTGAACCATATACTCGTGTCCTTTCAAATACCATCCACCAATGATCAACACTTTTACGTCACCCTAATTTGAATTGAATTTGAAATTCTTTAACCTTAATGCATCCTTTTTACCTTAATGGATTCCTTATTTGGTGTTAAGTGTCACTGATTGGTGTCAACCATCCTCACCACTCAAAGTGGCGCCATTTTGGATCGGGACATTGATGAAGCAAGCACCGACTCGACTACGGTAGAAAGACTGAATAGTTGTTGATTGACAAGGACTCGAGGGGTGGTGTTAAACGAAGAAGTTGCGACAAATGACGCGACCGAGGTAGAAAGACTGTGAAATAGTTGTTGATTGACAAGGCCAAATGCTGTGCGATCTATACCATCCAACGCAGAATTTTATTCTGATTCCGAATCTGTATTCCGTTTTTGCTAAATGACAATCTGCCAGGAGTTATAAGCGTCTAAAGTCTTGTTAGAACTGGATCTTAGCAGCCTCGCCTTGCAGATCCGATTCGGAGCAGTCTTGCGCTGAGTGGTAGAGCGCTCGTTTTCGAGTGCTCGTTCAGAGCGCGTTCAGAAGCACTCGTTTTCAGAGCGAGACCTCACAAGTTCAATCTCGACTTTTGGTTTTTCTTTTTAAGAATTGCTGCCTAGTGTTCTTTACTGTATTTCATTAACTTACCGTTTCATTATCGTCAATACTTTCATGATGGGTGTCACCAGAATGTGAGTGATGAGATTCATCTCGAGCATATCTGAAAAAACGATATGATAAAAAATCGTTTTTGAAGTGGAATTAGATATTCATAGAAATAAATAATAATTGATTTCGCTGACCCGTTGCTGTCCTCCAAATGTAAATGATGATTTGCTGGTGTGTCCTCCCTCCCAAATTCCCTCCGTCAACTTTCCCGCAATTCCTCACAATGTCTCCTATAAAAAATTTGAGATTTCTATCTAAAACTCTTTTTTTTTTTGTTTACCAATAAAATGCGGATCGATCGAGGTCGTCGCTGAAAGTGGACGGTTGACGGCGAAGGGCAACCGAAGAAAGGCCCTGAAAATGAGCATAATAGTTTGTTACTTATATTTAAATAAAATTTATTTTTTAACTTATATAGCATGACTTATATCTTTCAATCTACAACCAGCTGCATCTATTTTAATCTAAAGTAAGCTTAACCCAAGATAAATCAATTTCTCAATCAATTTCTCCCCAATCAATTTTTGTACCTTTTCGAAAAGCCGACGAGCAGCTATTTCTTCGCTCTAGAGTGAGCTCCGCCATTGTGCTTGAAAAAAAAATGGATTTTGTTTGATTATTTTTGAATAATTTATAATAATAAATGATAAAAATAGACAAGTAGTAATTTAGAAGAGAAAAATGAGAATGAAAACTGTAAAATGAAAACTGACTGAGTGCGGATCGTTGAGCAGTTGCCAAATGGCGTTGCACAACGCCGTTACTTCTTGTGATGATGTTGTTGGGGATGTACTGTAAGGCGATTATTTAGAAATTTTGCTTTTTATATAGCAAAAGCTTTATCTTACATATTGGTGAGATTTGCGTGTGAAGATCTTGATGTGAAAGAGTAAGTGAAGAGGCTTTTATTGTGGCGGGTGATTCTTTCTGGATAGGGGACGTCCATCTAGAAGGATTGATTGGATAAATGGATAAATGGATAAATGGATAAATGGATTGGATTGGATTGGATTAATTGGACGTCATTGGATAAATGGGCTCTTCTCTCCTTTTTGGAGATTCATAATTTTGAGATGATGGCCATTATTGTTAACTTTTCCTATAATCCTAAAGAAAAGATTTCAGGCTTTCAAATAATAAATAGACTTTTAATTGAATCAGAAAATCCTAAGAAAATCAGGAAAAAGCGTTTTTTTCGCTTTTCCACTCAATCGGGTGTCTAATTTCAATTTCCCGAGTCTCAAATCTTTTATTTCCGGATCTAGACAGCAGAAATGCTCATCCAGAAAGATAATATTTAATATTATAATATCTCAAGTTGATTTTCATAATTTTAAAAGAAGCCTCACCAGCTCGCGTCATCATCACCGCTGTTCAAATAGTGCACCAAGACGACGTCGGGGTTCTGAAGCTTTTGGATTGCTTTCTTTATTTGTTTTAATTGTTTAAATCTACATCCAACTGTAAGGATAGACTTACAATAATTAGGGTACCGTAAATACTGTAATAGCACCCCACCCCCCTCGTACAGTCGCGTAGTGCAAAAGTTTCTTGAGTATTTCATTTTTTTAAAGCGCCCGTACTTTCCAAAAATGCGTACTTTGGTATCAAAAATAGCCCTAGATTTCAGGGCTATTTTTGATAGCTAAGCGCGCATTATAGCATAAACCAGTGTCAGAAAAAAACTCGTTCAAAGCTAGACTACGCAACACTCCGCACCGTCATTAAAATTGGCGGGGGTACTATTACAATATTTACGGTATACTGTAAGTTGTAAACAGTAAACGTACGGTCGTTAGCCAATAAACGCGTCGATGGAAACTCGGGACGATCGCCGAATGGGCATAGTTTGCCGAGATGATCTCCTGCCTTGAACCTGAATTTTCATTCACTATATTTTCATCCTAAAAAAACATATAAAAATTATATAATTTGTAAACTATATTTGAATAAGGTATAAGAAATAGATTCAAATACAAACTTTTAACTTCATATGATCCTCCCGAATCACTTTCCCCTCGCGACGTCGTTTCCAAATATACCCATCCGCCTGCAAGCAAATTTCATCCAAAAGTTCGCTTTATTTTATTATAATTATTATTTTACGATTCTTATTGCTTATTATTACCTTAAAATAGTTATCATTAAATCCGTTTGAAGAGCATTTGAGTCCCGGGATTGTGGTCTTTCTCTCACTTGTTGACTTATCCATTCCGGATGGGAACCCACTGAGCTTAAGATTTGAGCAACTTCCTAAAAAGAGAATTTAATTTGATTTGATTTTTGGGGACTATAGCGCTGTTCGGGAGTGCCGTTCAAAACAGAGCGTCGTTCAAAAGAGCGCCGTTCAAAAGAGCGCCGTTCAAAAGAGCGCCATTCAAAAGAGCGCCATTCAAAAGAGCGCCGTTCAAAAGAGCGCCATTCAAAAGAGCGCCATCCTAAAAGAGCCCCATTCAAAAGAGCGCCGATTTAAATCGATTTAAAACGACAGAGATTTAAGATGTTCTCAATATGCGATCTTCCTAAGGTGCCATTTCTGATAGCCAACTCTCTTTGTCCGATGAGAAGAGCAAACGTGAGGCAATTGTTGATTAGTTTCTTTTTACCTAAAATAGACTTGGATTTAGACAACTTAGACAATAAATGAAAACAAACAGCAAAAAATATTTCTTTTGATAAATTGCGCCCCCATTGACTTGCCGGTCGTTTTCTGCCAACAACGGCGAATTCGAATTTATCGGTCGTTCTTTTACCTAAAAACAAATAAAAAATGTGAATAAACAAAAAAAACCAGCAAAAACATCAAGAAAAACGAAAAAATGGAAGCAAAAATCTAGTCGAGCTCTTTTTAAGCGGCGCCCTTTTGAGCGGCGCCCTTTTGATTAAGGCGCTCTTTTAAGCGGTGCTCATTTGATATAGTCCCATGAATGATTTCTAAGTGGAAATTAGAATTTATCTTTTGTTTGGGGGAAAGATATTTTCGTTGGACAAATATGCAAATTTTATCTGATTTTCGATCGAATTGAGTGGAAAGAGAGAATCAAAAGGAGGAAAGAGATGCCAATTATTCCCGATCCTCCCGATCCTCACCTCTTTTTTTTCCCTTTGAATTTGATACTTGAATTGTTAAATGTTTACCTGATTGCTGTTCCATTTTGTTTGAATCGCTCGGGAAACGATCGATCTGTTGGATGCTTACACTGTGCAGCTGGGGTTGATTCATCGTATATATACTTGTTTTCCATCTTGAGCTGAAATTTGATGCAGAGAAATCAAAGTAGAGTCTTGGAGATTGAACAAGAGAATAGAAAATATAAAAATAATGCACGTTATAACAATTTTCGCTTGCACAATTCAGTAATGAACAATTTGCAGACAACTCCTGTCTAAGCAAAGCCATCAATCCAAGCTATAAAAGCAAAGCCATCAAAACGAAGCTATCAAGCAAAGTTATCCAAAGCAAAAGCCATCAAGCAAAGCTATCAAATCAAAGCTATCAGCAAAGCAAAGCTATTCCCTATTTCCTTAAATTTGGTTCCTTATCTCAACAAGTTTGGTCCCATCTCTTTAAATTTGGTTCCCTATCTCTTTAAATTTGGTTCCCTGTCAAAGCAAAGCAAAGCCATCAAAGCAAAGTTATCAAAGCTAAAGCTATCAAAGTATTATTATTATATAAAACATACAAAGTTATCAAAGCAAAGCCATCAAAGCAAAGCCATCAAATCAAAGCTATCAAGCAAAGCCAACAAACCAAAGCCATCAAAGCGAAGCCTTTCCTAAGAGCATTTTGTTCTTAATGACTCAAAAACATTATGCAAATTAAGCCTGGATAAGTTTAAAGAAACGAATATTACCTAATATTATTGAATTCTTGATGATACAAAAACTTTATATAAATAGAGTCTAGATAGTTTAAGGATTGTAGAAATGATATAAGAAAAACTTTGAGGGAAACAGTTGAAATCCATTACGTTGGAGTTAAAATAAAAGGGAAAAAATGAAATGGAGATGAGCTTTAGGTACTTTTTTGGGCTTTAGGCTCTCCCAGCTCTCCTGAAGGACCTCACCCCTTTTCCCCTTCCCTTCCTCTATATAGTCGCTGTGTAGGGAATCCCTTCATTTCTCCCCACTTCTCCATTTTTTTTCCCTTTTCCCAATCTTTTCCCCAGTTCCGGGCCAGTCGGCTGGTTGCCCAGATCGGGGTGGATCGACTTACCGTAACCGGGCATTCCCCACAAGACCCATCCACTGTTTAAGCTCTGCATTTTGCCAAGCCTGCAAGTACACAAATGTTTTTGTTTTGCCCTCTCCAGATAACGTTTTGGATTCCCATTTATCAATTTCTTGGATTCACTTTTTCTCGTTTTTTATTAGATTTTTGTGTTCATATTCCTTATAAACATTTCCCTTCTCAACCAGCGATAAAGGAGCTATAATAGAACTTTAAAGGGACCTTAAAGGAACTATAAGGGAACTATAAGGGAACTATAAAGGAGCTTTTTTCAGTATTCAATTACTCGTGAATATTTGAGAAATTTAACGAATTGACGAATTTACGAATAATTTTACTAAAAACTGTTCCTCTATACCGGTTACTTATCTAAACTGTTAAAATCGTTTAATATCAATGTGATAACGCTTTAGATTCTCTTTATCACATTCTTGATTCGCTTTTCGTGCTTTGTTTGATTAGATTTTACGAGTAATTTCTAAATGTACACGAGTAAATTCTAAATATGCAAGGGAGTAGTGTTTGAAAGAACACTTTGAAAAGTAGTCAGAAGTTATTTGCATGCTTTAAAATCGTGAAATGCATATTAGATTCTTAAATATTAACCGTTTGACTTAATGATTTTGAAAACCAGTAGCGTTTGCCGAAAACAATACTTCATTTTTCACATTTTCAGGATGCGCCAATTTCAGGATGTTCTTTAAATGCGAGAGATTAGTTTCGGTTTTCAAAGCAATTACAAGATGACTGGTTCAACTACAAGATGACTTGTTCAGTTACAAGATGACTTGTTCAGTTACAAGATGACTTGTTTCAGTTACAAGATGACTTGTTCAGCTACAAGATGACTTGTTCAGTTACAAGATGACTGGTTCAGCTACAAGATGACTTGTTCAGTTGCAAAATTTGACTTGTTCAGCAAAGATGGCGGCTTGTTCAGTTACAAGATGACTGGTTCAACTACAAGATGACTTGTTCAGTTACCACGGGTTGACTTGTTCAACTTCTACAAGATGACTTGTTCAGATTACAAGATGACTGGTTCAACTACAGAGATGACTTGTTCAATTACAAGATGACTTAATAAAATTCAAACGACTCAAAGAGAAATTCTTGACCACGCCCTGCTAGGAATGGCTGGAAGACACAGCCAAGTTTGGGAGAAGGGTATCCCAATGATTTGAGCATAGTGACGAGCCCAAATCGAGCTTTTATTTCTTTTTTTTACTATTAGATATCATGAGGCTTGTTAAGCAACTTCACTAGTACTGTAATCAAATGAAAGTTTTCAGTTTTGGTCTTCAAAGCAGATGCAGAAGAAAACAATGATACGATTCTAAAGCTTCGTTAGAGCTCTAGCCAAGCTTGTCCTGCTAATCTTGAAGCTTGATGCTGTAACCTTGAAGCTTGAAGCTGTAATCTTGAAGCTTGAGCTATGTCTTGAAGAAGCTTTGAACTTAGATTTTGAAAGCATTTTATGCATTTCAAGTACCACAAAAAGAGTAATTACCTTGTGATTAGGCGGAAAGATTCATAGAAGATACCTGCCATTTTTCCTCCTCTCATTCCCAGCTTTTAGAAGCTTTTTTTTGTGTAGGTGAATGGGTGGAAATGAGGAAGGAATTGAGCGAAAGAGAGAATCGAGAGGGAGTGAAAGAGGTGCCCATTATTCCGATCCGCTGATCCTCACCTCTTTTTTCCCCTTTCCATTTCACGGTTCGCCATTCCAGACACAGGGCAAAGGTCATCCCCAAAACACCTAGATACCATTTTTTATTCAATGAAAATCTCCATAACTTTATTCATTTCTTCATTTGTGTTCTCCTTTACTTGAAGTTTCAAAGAGCATACCAAGTAAAATCTTCCGGGCCAGGCCAAGGCCAAGCAAAGCCAAGCCAACTCAGAAGCCAGGTTGGCAAAGCCAGGCCAAGCTAAGCCAGGCTGAGCAAGCAGCCAGGGCCCTGGTGTGGTTTCTCTAAGTCGAAGAGATACCTGGCTTGGCCCTAGCCTTGCTTGACCTGACCCAAAAACACCTTTGTAACAACCCTGATCTGGATAATACATGTTGTGCTACTTTTTTGAGTTATTGAACTATTCGGGATATGGGTTTAGCATCAAGTGATAGTGAGGAGATAAATCTGAATTTGACTTGTACACTTCTATAGTCGTCATTAAGTACTGTTGAAATCTGTGTTAGCTAGGGGTTCTTCGTTTTTCGAATAGTGCTCAATTTTTGTTTTAAAAACGGCTCCTATCATTTATCGATTTGCAGATCAATGTTTTTCTACTCGAATTTCAAATTAAGCTTTTCCGTTTCCCGTAAGAATTCTGATTGTCTTGTTTCAAAGTTTTCTTTAAATTCAATCGATCATTCATCGAAAGATTTGGAGAAGAGATCAAAAGAAAAGAAAGAAAAGAAAAAGAGACATCTGATCTGTTTGCCAACATGCCGTTTGTACGCTAATGCACTCTGAGACGTTAGGGATCTAGATTTAGATATTGGAAAGAAATGGAGACTTGAAGGGCTTGGCTTCCTTTTGATTTCAATTTACCTTCCTGTATCTATTTGGAATTTATCCAGGTAAAGATTCTAGAATAGGCTATTTTATGTAGCTTGCTATGCTCGGGCTTCTTACAATGAATCGGCTCTCTGGAAATTTGCATAACAAAAACCAGTGTACGGGTTTATTATTAGACTTACTAGGGAAAGGCAGGAAGCTTGCCGTGAGCTGGGAATTTAGCATTCCCCACATTCGCAGAATTACTAGGGAAAGGCAGGGAATTTCGTTTCCACATCTTACTAAATCGAGTATGGAGATTCATAATCTGAAATCAAAATCTGCTAAATAAGCTTTGCAAACACGTAAAAATTGTATTGAAAGCTAAATTGAAAGCTTCGAAGATAAGCTTTAAAAGGTGCTTTTCAATCAAGCCGGTGTCGATACCGGTGGCCTAGTGGGTAGTGGTAAAGTCTCTCGGTAGAAAGAGTTCGGGGTTCGGTCCCCGTCTTGTTTTTGGTTTTTTTTCTTAAAATTTTAGTTAGAAATTCTTATACCTAATAGTAAATCGGCTAATCGGCTTTGTTTTCTAGGTGATATTCTTTTTTATATATTATAGCAGAGATGTTTGTTTATCGATTTTATAGATTATAGCAGAGATGTTTGTTTTGCTTTGATTCCATCTTTGATCGTCTAGCTGGGATTTATCATTGTGCTTCAAGAATGTCTAATAATGTTTAGTCTAAAGAAAATTCGGTGCACAAGATACATTGAGCATTGGAAGCACGCGTGGTGCTTTCCCTTCCCGATTTCCCTTAAGGGATGCTATCTGTATGTCAGTCAACAACCATGGTCAGCACCCCGCAAATTCCTTTCCCTTCTTGCAAGCATTGGTTCCTTCTTTCTTCTTGTTGTTATGTCCCGATTTGTGTCTTCTCCATCAATGTTTACCTTGATGTGCGCTGTTTTCCATTCCTTTCCCCATTTCTCATTTCACTTTCCAACTTTGTCTCTTCTAAGGCTTTCTGTCTCTTCCTTAAAAAAAAAAAGCGGATTTTTGAAGAGTCTTTGTCTTCACTGATACCAGATTTTAAAAGAGTTTAACATATAAAATACTCTTTACTCATATGTTGTATTCGATTTAGTCAGAACCTACTCGCGGACGTCCGCATTAGAATACAGTCTATATCGGACATCCGATTTACAATCAATCCAAATCCTATCGATTGAACAATAATACGTCTTATATAGATTGAACAATAGCCATAAAAACATGCTTAATAGATGTTGCCTAAGCATTTTCCGTAGTTTTCTGCATTTTCAAAGGTCTATTACCGCCTTCATCTGAAAAGAAAACCCAACCATGAAATCATCAGTAGTAAGACCTTTGAAAATGCAGAAAAACTACAGAAAACGCTAAGAAATATATTAAGCATGTTTATATTATCTGGGCGATCATATATTACGCCGAAGGTTTAGGTTGAATCTAAATCGGATGTCCGATATAGACTGTAATCTAAATCGGACGCCCGCGATAAGTTCAATCTAAATCGAACACAACATATACAAGTTTTTTTAGGAAATCTAATGGGAACAGATGGCTTCGATATTGAGGTCGATATAAGGGTTTTTTTAAAAAGTCAATAGCTTTTGTTATGCAAATTTCCAGAGAGCCGCTGGAGCGGCGACGAGATTTTATGGCGATCCAACAACCGAGAATTGCTATCGTTTTGAGGATACATTAAAGGTAGAAAAGGATTGAGAATATTGTAGTTGTGCTAGAGTCTTATTGCTCAAGTTATAGGATATCGTTGTGATAACACAAAGCTTTCATTCAGCTCCTCGTCTCAGCCACAAACTCGGTGCATCGTGTCTCTCGTCTTCGTCTCAACCCATCAACTTCTTTATCCGAGCTTCTCCCGCTTTGCCCCATTCTACTCACAAATTCGACAAGTGGCGCTAAAACCCGAAATCTTATCGTTCAATTTCTTTATAACTTAGGTAAGTCAAAAGTCAGATCAAGTAAAGGGAAAAGCCAAACAAACTAGTTGAACGATGGCTAGAAGTCAAAGAAAAAGCCAAGCAATGGCTAGAGAAATGGCTAGAGGCTAAACGATGGCTAGAGAAATGTAATAATGCAATTGCTCCAAGGGTTGCTCCAAAAGAAAAACAAAAAGCTGCATCAGGGATTGAACCCTGATCCAGTGAACCCTAATGAGTTATCCACTCGGCTACCAACCCACTTATGTCAGCTAGGAAGAAACGTTTTAAACCATCCTTATCCGCAGCTCATTTCCAGGGATTCACAATGTCTCTCTTCGTCGTCACATGTGTTCCGCGTTGGAGCTTTGTGCTGCCGTTTGGCAAGCTTTAAAAGTCTCAGTTCAAGAGGAGAATGGACCAGATGTTTTACTTGATTTACTCAAACTTTTACAAGTATTAGAAATCAATATTTTCCATCGCTTCTTTTACTTTACAGGTGCTCACCTACGAGAAATGTCTCATTCTTGGCTTGTGGGCAAATGATTTGATTTCTTTTCTCATCGCTGATGTGTGAGTTGTTAATTGTAAAGTTGTAAAAACGATTCATTTCTTTTTCTTTTCTAGTATAAAAGAGCCGGAAGCTGAATGGTTACCATTTTCCACAGCAATTTTGTGTAATTTAACGACAAGATCAAAATCGGCGGGGATGAGGATACGAAAATCGGTTTGAAATAAATGAAAATAAATGAAAATAAATGAAATAAATAAATGAAATAAATGAAAATCTTAATTTAAAACAATATTTCAGTCAAACTATAAGCCATTTTCAAAGCGTTTGATTCGTTTACTTCAACACGACTCTCGATTGGTTGGTTATTTGTGAAAATATTTGTCAAATAACTCGATTGGTTATTTGTGAAAACATTTTAAATCGATTTTAAGGTCGTTGTCTCTTGTCTTGTTTTGATTGGCTATCTTGAGGAGAAAATTCGAGATGTGGTGGGTTTAAAATCACAAAATAACGCACAACAATTCGTACTTAACCCATTAGAAAAGAGTTCCGCTGGTATTTCACTGACCACAAGACTCTACATAAAGTTCGATATTCTTGTGCATTCTTGGGCGCAAAAAAAGTATTGTTAGGCTTTTGAGAAAGTCTTTTCATTCCTTTGAAATTCCTCGTTGAAAAATAACAAATTCATCAATTAATCTATAGTTTTATATAGTTCTATTAATCTATCAATTGATCTATAGTTTTCTATAGTTTAATTTCCCATCTTTTTAAGTCAATTTCGGTTCACTTTCAAGTAAATTTGAAAGTGAAAATAAATGTTTTTCATAGAGATCTATGCAAATAAATGCAAATTTTTGTTTTAATTCGTTTTTGTCGTTAACAAGCCTACTTGTAAGCAATGAGCAAATGAGGAGAGCAAATTCTAGATCTTGTAAGCCTACCTGTAAGCAATGAGCAAATGAGGAGAGCAAATTCTAGATCTTGTAAGCCTACCTGTAAGCAATGAGCAAATGAGGAGAGCAAATTCTAGATCTTGTAAGCCTACTTGTAAGCAATGAGCAAATGAGGAAAGCTATCTGCAAATTCTAGATCTTCATTTAAACCTTTAACTCTTAAATCTTCAGGTCTACTCACCGGCAAATCTCTCAATGACTTTTCAATGCGTCTTCAACGTGTTAGTGCTTGGCGATGCCCCATTGACGAGACATGTCGCCTGTGATCTCTTAAGAAGAATGGTTATCAGTGAAGCGCCTACAGTAAGAACATTTTATTCAAAAAAAAATGTTGTATTAATTCTTCTCAGATATCCTCCCAACCCGTAATCACGGCCACAGGACGCGATTTGGTCTGCTACTCTCACTTCAACGCTTGTATCCAGAAAGTGGCCGGCTTACTACTGTCTGTTGATCCATTACTTGAGGAGACTAGTAAGGTAAAGCTAATTAATTAGGATTTATAGATCTTATTTAAATCGATTTCCAGATCCTCGAATTGCTGATCTCTCTCTGTTCTCTTTCAAGTGTCCGATCTCCGATTTGTCAAGCGATTCTCCACTGGAAAGGCTCATCCGGCGAGCTTCGAACACCAATTATCGGTAAGCTATAGAAACATTTATCTCCTTGCTCATCATGCTCTCATGGCTGACAGGTTAGGAGTCTTGGATCCTAGTCGAGAGGTCGATCCCAGCCGCTAGAAAATTTGGCTTTTTCTCAGGGATTTTTCTCTGCAACATCTTTAGGGGTATTAGGGCAGTGTATTTGTTTGTGTCATATTATTTATGTTGAAGAAATGTATACTTTTTAATAGAATTCATGTATTTCACAGTATAATAGTATTGCGAAAGTCGTGCAAATGATGTACTTCATCAATTTAGCAATCGCAAAAACTGGCTGTCTCCCCTTCAACGAGGCCATCGATTCATTGACACCGATTAGGGCACTTCAACTATTGAATTATCTTCTGAAAGTGGGCTTATCACTTAGAAATTGATAAAAGATTCAATTAGGAAGCTGTGGATGGCGGGCAACCAGTAGCCGACTATATCCCGTGTGAACGATTAATGCAAATTCTCGAGGAGAATGTGAAGACGACAATCGACACGGGCAGGTACATTAGTACTATAGATACTATAGACAAGGCTATAGATATAGATAAAGCTATAGATAAAGCTGCATTGAAGCTTAGCTGGCAATAAGATCTTCTTAAATTATCTCAAACTTTCAGCGATCTCGTTGGGAAACAATGTGAACGCATCTGTGAAGCGCTGCGCATGGCTGAAGGTTGGTGACTAGTCGAACAACAAGCTCCAGGATTAGATTAAAAAAGAATTCAAAAATCTAAAAGTGTAGATCGTTTTTCAGTGCTCTCCGGTGATGACGAAATTCGTGCCTCGCTCCTCGCGGTCACTTCCAGTCAACTCTGCTCTCATTTAGCTGAAACGCAATTGATGACCAATCCAATCGCCGTACAAATGCACAAACCACCACAGAGTCGAAATGAGATTTTACCGATTTGGAGGTGAATTCGAATTTTAACCAATAGACTCAAAAAGTACAAAAGAAAGGCTTTTTTTTAACGATCAATTCAGCTAGCATTTAATTCTTGTTGTTCAGTGAACACGGTGCTTCGATCATTCTCGAATTGTTGCGACTTTTGGCCGCTCTAAAAGATACCTCAAAAGCACATAAAGATCAATATTGGAGATCATTGAGAGTAAGTGAAAGTTACAATCAAAGTTACAATTAAAGTTACAATCAAGGTTACAATTTTTGTATCAAAGGTAAATTAAAAAAATATAAAATAAAATTAAAGTAAAAAATTAAAGATTAAATTTACGACCAAATCAAAGTTACAATCAAAGTCACAATTAAAGTTACAATCAAGGTTACAATCAAATTTACAATAAAAACCTTTCAATATTTAGGATGAACGCTTGGTGCCTTTTTTAGGTTTTGCTTTAACAAATGGAAGACATGAACAGGTTGAAGAAAAATTTGTTTTCAATTTTTAACTTAAAATTCTTTAGGTTTATAATGCCTTAGTCGTTCTAAATCACTGTGCTCAAGTGCACGATTTTCCGACAAGAAGGTACAGGTTTTGAAACAGAATTTTCAAATTTTATATTAAAATTACCGTATTTTCTGTAATAGTAGTGCGCACTACTATTTTTTCAGCTCCCTCCAGCCTGCGCTACTATTATAGACTGCACTACTATTACAGAAAATATGGTATATTAAATTCAGACTTGCTGATATGATTGCATCAAATATCATTGAAAAACGCTTAAAAGAAAATCCCTTGTCGAGTTCAGCCTCTTTGAATACAAGCAACGAAGCGAGAAGGTGAGGATTTTTCTGAAACGCATCTTTTCTAGTGCATCAAATAGGGTGTGTTTTGAAAAACAAAGTACACCGTAACACCTGCAATGAACATTGGTCGTTAAAATTCCAAGAAACAAAATTGTTTTCAGATCAACTGAAACCGAGGTCATTTTCGAGCCAATAAACCAAGAGGTAGGTTTTGAAAAAGCTTTTAAAAAAAGAATAAAAGCTTTTAAAAAAAGAATAAAAACAATAAAAAGCAATAAAAGCAATAAAAAAGAATAAAAGCTTTTTAAAAAAGTCTTTAGTTAAATGGAAAAAACGTGAGAAAAGTGCTCGATGATGTGCTGGATCGATTGAGGAGAGATTTTGATGTGAGTAAATCAAAATTTTATAGCTAAACGAAGTAGCTAAGTAAATCAACTATAGCTAAACGAAAGTGTGCTTAAATTGTACGTTTCGATACAAAAGCTTGTTTATCGATCAGTTTAAGATTCAAATTTCCATCTATCATACCAAAAATCGTAAGCTTTTTATTTTAGCACGGAGCGCTTAAACAATCCGATGTGGTGGCCGTTTATGAAGGGAAAATTGCACAAATGCTACGAAAAGAGAAAGAGCTTGAAGGTAATGGGGAAGGGAAATTATTTATGTGTTTATTTGGGGTAGGCTAGTTTCCGCAACTTTTTTTGGGCAACTGGATCATTTGTGCAACTCACCATAACTTTCTTCTAAGTGGGCTAATCTTTATGCTTTTGGTGTCATTTTGTTGCACTTATTGAGATCTACAAAATGAGACCAAAATAATAAAGATTAGCCCACTTAGAAGAAAGTTATGGTGCGTTGCACGAATGATCCAGTTGCGCAAATGACCCAGTTGCGCAAAAAAAGTTGCGGAAACTAGCCTACCCCGTTTATTTATTTATTTATTTATTTATTTAAGCTAAAAGATATTCAGCTTTACTCGTGAGCAAAGAGCAAGCTCTATCCCAAAGTGAACGACTCAGAATAACGACAAAATCGACAAGTTTGAGTAATGAAAATGAGGTTTGTGATGGGATATTTTTGGTTATAATTGTTGAAAAAGTTAATTGATCTTTTTTTCTTTACATTTTCTCTTATAAAAATACTTGTTTAGATATCAAAAATGAGAACATTGATCACAGAAAATGAGCGCCTCGTTGATGAGAAGATGAAGACAGAAAAGGAGTGAGTGAAATTCTAAAATTCTAAAAGATAACTTCAATTCAAAAAAAAGTTGACTAAACTATCTGATTAAACATCTTTTACCATTTTTTTTCAGACTCTTTGATGCATTGACGGCAAAAGATTTACTCGTTGAAGAGAATCGACGTGAAGTGGATTTGAGTGGACAATTGAGACAAGCTGCGAAAGAAATGAAGGAGAAATTTGAGAGGTAAGAACTTCAATGACTGTAGGCATTCGAATTAAATGACAACAAAAGATACGGAGAAACGTAAGGCAAAATTGGTCCCAAAGATCTGAGCATAGTGGCGTTCAGAAGGCGGAGGATCGTCAGCTGTTTAGCTCAGTCGCTGACCAGCTCAGTCGCTGACCAGCTCAGTCGCTGACCAGCTCAGTCGCTGACCAGCTCAGTCGCTGACCAGCTCAGTCGCTGACCAGCTCAGTCGCTGACCAGCTCAGTCGCTGACCAGCTCAGTCGCTGACCAGCTCAGTCGCTGACCAGCTCAGTCGCTGACCAGCTCAGTCGCTGACCAGCTCAGTCGCTGACCAGCTCAGTCGCTGACCAGCTCAGTCGCTGACCAGCTCAGTCGCTGACCAGCTCAGTCGCTGACCAGCTCAGTCGCTGACCAGCTCAGTCGCTGACCAGCTCAGTCGCTGACCAGCTCAGTCGCTGACCAGCTCAGTCGCTGACCAGCTCAGTCGCTGACCGCTCCTTTCCCTTTTTTTCCAAATGTTCATTCTTTTTCTTTTCTTAACTCAAGAAAAGACAAATTCGCTGAGCTTATAATCAGAAAACTTTTATCCTGAACTATCTGTTTTCCGGTGTTTTCCGGTCAGAATCTTGTCACTATTTTTGTTCAGAGCTTCGACACTCGCCCTCGAGAAACAGCAACGATGCGAGGAGCTGCTTGAAGAGAAAAAAGTGCTCACAGCTGATCTAGCTGGTTAGATAAGAAAACGGCGATCAATTAGCTGTATATCTTTCAGAATCCCGTCAACAATCGGCCACTCTATCGGTGAATAAAGATAATGAGATCGATGAGTTGAAGAAGAGTTTATCGGAGACGAGGAAACGAGCGGTGAGTGCACAGAATTGAGTTTTGGGAGCTTTGGATTTACGCTTTGAGTGTTTGAAGCTAAAAAAAGCTAAATCAAAAATTTTGTAAATATTATAGGTATTTTCCGAGGAAGAGTTGCACGCGTGCAAAGAGAAATTGACACGAGCGGTTGGGGACGAGAACCAAAAAGAAGAGGAAATGAGGTGGGTGGAAATGATCTATTTAAAGTACAACACTGAGATTAAAAACATTTTTACTCGCCTACTTTACAATTTAGAAGAAATTTCGAAATCGAACGAGTGCAATATCAAAAAGATTTCTCTGCAATGAAAAATCGTTTGGAAGCCGAGAAGAAAGAGATGCAGGAAAGGGTGAGAATAAAGATAAATAAATTAAAAAAATCATTTTCTTTTCAAAAGACAAGTGTTCAAATTTGATTGAAATGGCTGAACTGGCATAACGACTTATAGAGCTCAAGCTTGAATGAGCGCTTGTCTTGAGGGCTCAAACAAGCGCTTGAATGAGCGCTAGTCGAAATCTCTCCAAACGAATTTGTCATTTGGAAAAGTATCTGGGAAATGCCTAACCTATTTTAGACCTGTCAAGTGTTATATAGAGCATTGTAGCCCTAATTCTTAGCTATATTTATCTAACAAAAAATTTCCAATTCGACTCGTACAACTCATTTTACAAGCGCTTGAATGAGCGCTAGTGTCCGGCGAATCTCTCCAACGAATTTGTCATTTGGCTGCTTTTCTCTATTAAAAATTGTTAAAAGCTTTTCAATATTCCTTCAATGTAAAAACAGCGTTTAACATCACTTAATAACATTAAGAATCAAACTTTTACTCGAGTAATTTACTTACTCGCGAGGAACACACCCTAGTAACTACAGGATAACCGCAAAGTATAGTGACAACTTTTTGGATAAAGTATATGACTTAGCGTATTTTAGAAGTATCAAGTTTTATATAGAGAATTGTAGCCCTAATTCTCAACAACATTTATCTACAAAAAACTTCCCGATTTGACTTATAGAGCTGATTTAAGAAGCGCTTGAATGAGCGCTAGTCGACATCTCTCCAACGAATTTGTCATTTGGCTGCTTTTCTCTATTAAAAATTGTTAAGAAAAGCTTTTCAATATTCCTTCAATGTAAAAACAGCGTTTAATATCACTTAATAACATTAGGAATCACACTTAAATGTTTTGGCTGGACTGGCATAACCAAAATTTAAGTTGATGTCAAGCTCCTTTTGGAGGAGCAGGGAGCAGGGAGGAGCAGGGAGTATTTTCAATATTCAGTTCATATGCGTATCTCGTTATATCAGTTGTTCTGGCGCTATGAATTTGTTGGGAAACAATTTTTTTTCGACAAAATTACCACAAATTTGACTGCGAAAAACTTTTCCAAATGAGATTTTTTCATGTAGAAAAGTGGCCAAATGACAGATTCGCCGGAGAGATGTCGACTAGCGCTCATTCAAGCGCTTGTTAAATGAGTTGTATAAGTCCAATCGGGATGCTTTTGGTAGATAAATGTTGCCAACATCACCTAAAAACATTAAGAATCAAACTTAATTGAACTTAACAGTTTTGGCTGAACTGGCATAACCAAAATTGAAGTTGATGGCAAGCTTCTTTTGGAGAAGCAGGGAAAAAAAGTGAAAATTGAGTATTCTCGATATTCAGTTCAGCTGTTCTGGCGCTAGAAATTCGTTGAAAACAATTCGTAAACAAATTTGTAAACAAAATTCCCATAAATTGAACTAAAAAAAAGACTTTTTCGAATGAAATTTTTTAATGTAGAAAATCGTGAAAAATGACAGATTCGTTGGAGAGATGTCGACAAATTGCCGACTAGCGCTCATTCAAGCGCTTCTGAAATGAGCTCTATAAGTCCAATCGGGAAGTTTTTTGTAGATAAATGTAGCCAAGAATTAGGGATACAATTCTCTATATAAAAGTCGATACTTCTAAAATAAGTTAAGCCAGATACTTTATCCAAAAAGTTTTCACTCACTATCCTTTGCGGTTATCCTGTAGTTACTCCAATTGCGAAGTTTTTGTTAGATAAATATAGCCAAGAATTAGGGCTACAATTCTCTATATAAAAGTCGATACTTCTAAAATAAGTTAGTCATTTGGCAGATAGTTTTTTCAAAAAGTTGTCTCTATGTTGTGTCCGATTTAGATTGAACCTATCGCGGACGTCCGATTTAGATTACAGTCTATATAGGACGTCCCATTTAGATTACAGTCTATATCGGACGTTCGATTTAGACTGTAATCTAAATCGGACGTCCGCGATAAGTTCAATCTAATCGGAAATCTAAATCGGACACAACATCTATATTTTGCGGCCACCCTTTACAATAAATAAAATAATTTTCGAAAATCGACATTTTATTTTAGGCTTTGAAATTATAGATTTAAAGTATGGAAAAGTTGAAATATTTTTAAAAATGGGTTATTTGAGAGGTTAAAACTAGAAACTAGAAAGATTTGATATCATTTTGTTTCAGTTATCCCTGGTGGAAGCCGAGTGCGAGAAAACTCGCCAAGAAATCGAAAGAGTCAAAAGAATTCGCGAGGAAATGCTCAAATTGGCTGGGAATTTTTGAACAATTTCAATATAATATAATATAATATCATTTTTCTAAATATTTCATAACAACTCCTCACTGTATACCTCAACCTTTAATGAGTTTCGCTTTCTTTCTTTCTTTTCTTCTCTACGGGTCATTGCTTTTCACGTCACAACTTTCATGTGCAATATAATAAAGTTTATGTTGGGAAAATGAAGTCCTTGAAAATATAAAAAAAAAGACTACCGTAAATACTGTAATAGCACCCCACCGCCCTCGTATAGTCGCGTAGTCGCAAAAGTTTTTTAGTATTTCATTTTTTTCAAAGCGCCCGTACTTTCAAAAAATGCGTCTTTAATATCAAAAAATAGCTGAAATTCAGGGCTATTTTTTGATACCTACGCGCGCATTGTAGCATAAACCAGTGTCGAGAAAAACTCGTTCAAAGCTAGACTACGCAACACTCCCCACCGTCATCATAGGGATAGGGTACTATTACAGTATTTACGGTATTGAAAATGATTTCTAATGTTTCTAATGTTTTTCTAATGTTATTGAAAATGATTTCTAAACTTTGGAAAATAATTTTTTAGACATAAATTATTTCAATAAATTATAAGCTCTTCTTGCTTAAAAAAAAGCAATCGATTTGGGGGAGATTCGGAGAAAAATCATTTAGAAAGATGTTTTTTATGAATGTTTTGGGGGTGGGATAAATGCACCTTTTAGGCACCTGGACATTTCGCGCCTCTTTTTTGCTGGAAAAGGCCTTAGGAAAGGTCGTAGAGCTTCAAAAATCTGTTCATATAAGGGAAGCGTATGCGTAGATTCCGAATTTCGACAAATCAGACCTCGCTGACACGTCAAATTTGGGCTAAAATGCAAAAACTGCGGGAAAGCGTTAAGTTGCGTAGTTTTTGCCTTTTAGCCCCACTTTGACGCGTCAGCGAGGTTTGATTTGTCAAAATTCTGAATCTACGCATACGATTCCCTTATAGTGGAAATATTTTCGAAGCTCTACGGCCTTACCTAAGGCCTTTCCCAGCAAAAAAAAGGTGCGCAAATGTTCAGGGTGCGCAAAAAAAGGTAGCATTTGTCCCACCCCCAATGTTTTTATTTTGAAGCGTTTTCTAATTTCTAATTTCAATATTTTATTGAAAAAAGCTCGAAAGCAAGAGATTCTTATCTACAAAAAAGTGAAGAAAGAAGAAGAAAACGAGCAGTGTCACTCAATTCAATATTTTCTTTGTCTTGTCTTGTCTTTTAATTGAATGAACTTTTGAAAGAGTTATTGATTTTTTTTTCCAAATGCAATCCGTCAGTTCAGCTGATTTGAGCAAGTTGAAGGTGAGGATTAGTACTACTTGTTAACTACTTGTTAACTACTTGTTAACTACTTGTTAACTACTTGTTAACTACTTGTTAACTGTTCTCCAAAGTAGCCAACAATGTCAACAACAAAGCCAACAAGCCATCACTCTTAAAATTAGCTATAACTTTATTAAGGTAATATTTCTTGGTGCATCGGGAGTTGGAAAAACGACAGTGATCACAAAATTCATTGATCGATGTTTTGTTGAAACAAATATACCGACGATTGGGATCGATTTTACGGGAAGAACGATAATGGTTGATGGAAGACCGGTGAGGATACAAATATGGGATACAGCTGGACAAGAGGTTGCATTCAACTCTAGCTTCAAACTCTAGCTCATTGTCGATTCAGAGATTTCATAAGTTTAATCCCATCGTATATTCGAGAGGCTCGAGGAGCGATTGTGATGTTTGATGTGAGTAGTCGAGATTCTTTTGCTCAAGTGAGTACTTCGAGTTGGCTTTAGTCATTCGACAGCTACATTATATTGGTTTACAGCTATTTTTACAGCCATTTTTATATCTCTAAGCCTGTCTAGCTATTAGGTTGGCAAGAGAGTTTGTAGAATTTCTTTTGTCTTTGATTTCTCTCTTTAAGAGATTTCTCTCTATTTAGAGACAATTCATGAAGAAATTAGAACTGTTTATGGACAAGGCTGTCGACCAATCATATACAAATAGTATCATTGTTTCAAGAAAGGTCAGCTGTTTCAAGAGACTTTTCTTTGCCGAGTCGAGCTTTCGATAAAACAACTCTTGTCAATCTTTTACAAATCGATAACAAACAATTTGGGAGAACAACTTCAGATTTCTCACATAACAATCATTCAATGAGCTATTCAATGAGACAATGAGCTCATTGAAGACAGTGAGCTATAACTCATTGAAGATAGTGAGCTATTCAATGAGACAATGAGCTATAGCTCATTGAAGACAATGAGCTATAGCTCATTGATTGTTGAGGCTCTGACTAATGTGATGAGATGGCAGTGTCTCTCAATCTCAACCGCTCTTCTTTCAAGACAACCGATATCTTATTGTTCTTCTTTTATTCTACATGTTCTTACTGGTGATGAAAAGTGAGCATATTTCAACTATCCAAGACACAAGCAATGGGTTACTCGGAGAAAAAGTAAACCTGAGCTGAAACCAGAACTCCAGAAGAAGATAATGTTATAGGATAATGTTTGAAGGAGTTGTTTACTGGGAATTGCTACCTAAAAGCACTGTTACAGCACATTATACAGTTGGATAAAGTGGATGAAATCACAAAAAAAAACGACTAAACAAAGGAAAAGTTCTGCTTCAGAGCTCATGTTATCAATCTCAAAGAGAGAAATTGAGAGGAGTTAGAGTGGAAGACTCTTTCCCATTTCCCAAACCTTGCCAATTTTCATCTTTTCGAAAAGCTAGCTGCAGAACTCGCCAATGAGCACTTCGGGGGGTCGAGCTGAGGTTGGTAAAACTGGTGGTTTCTTTGTCCGCTTAAGAATTTTTGGGAAAAAGGAAACCGCGCTTTCGCCAATAAATGGCAGAATTCGTAAAAATGACGATTATCTTGAACAATATATGCTCTAGCTTTTGAGGAGTCACCAATGCAAACGTTTTCTATGAAATTTCTTGCCATAGTATTTTTGATTTCTTTTATTTACATTATTTATTTCTTTTATTGATTCACAAAATCTAATAGTATTTATATTTAAATTCATTCGTTTTTCGGTGAAAAAAATGGGGTGAACATGGTGCGAGAAAAGAGTACAGTCGTCTTAGCTGTGATCATTTGTGGGAATAAAAATGATCGAGATGATCGAGAGGTCAGACTCTAGATTTTAATCTTATGCTAATCACAAATTTATATATTGTAATCACAAATTTATATTCTATAATCTAGGAATTTACAATTTTATATCCCTTAGGTTTCCCCGGAAGAGGCAGAGAAACTAGCTGATGAGCCGAAAGTCTCCTATTTCGAGACGTCGGCCAAAGTTGGACACAATATCAATATCTCTATTTGAGGCGATCACGCGACAAGTTAGTTTTTAGGATTGAAACAAGTTTCGATTGAGATTAGACTGACATTGGATTGAAATTGGATTGACATTGTAGATTGAAAGTTACGATTGAAATTGATGAGTTGATTGTACTCATCCAGGTGTACTCATCCAGGTTACTCATCCAGGTGTGCTTTGTACTCTAAGGTGCACTTTGTACTCATAAGGTGTACTTTGTACTCATCCAGGTGTGCTTCGTCCTCCATCCAGGTGTACTTTGTACTCATCCAGGTGTACTTTGTACTCATCCAGGTGTGCTTTCGCGCTCATCCAGGTGTACTTTGTACTCATCAGGTGTGCTTTGTACTCATCCAGGTGTAGCTTTGTACTCATAAGGTGTGCTTTGTACTCATAAGTGTACTTTGTACTCATCCAGGTGTACTTTGTACTTTCATCCAGGTGTACTTTGTACTCATCCAGGTGTACTTTGTACTCATCCAGGTGTACTTTGTACTCAAAATGTAAACCCATCTTACTTGGCAAACAATTGTAAAAGCATTTTTTTAAAAAAACTGATCATTTTACTGATCAAAATTCAAGAGTTGAATTTCGCTAGAAAAGCAGAAAAGGTGTGTTTTTCTATAGAAAAAGTCTATTTTTCGGCACAAAAAAGACTTCAGTATCGGCTTGACTATTCTTTTGCTATATTTTGAGCTTAAAAATCTAAACAAATCCCTTCTGGTGCATTTTGTATGCAAAATATGCAACCCTTTTCAGGCTCTCGCAATGCCTCAAGCCCGCGAACCCGCATGGGAAGAAGCTATTGAGCTGAAGCCGTCTTTCCCAGCTCCCACCCAGAAATCTCAATGTTCTTGCTAACATTCAATTCTTCAATTCTATTTATATTTTCATTTTTCATTTTCCGGGTATCTTCCTAGTTGTTGGTGCAATTTTTTATAAAGTTTTTCAAAAAAAAAAAAATCTGGAAAAATCTGAAACTTTCTGTCTGGCAAAAGCGTCACAAGGCAGGAGTAAAAAAAAAACCAGGGGACGTTACATAATTCAGTTGGTTGTGGGACATGAAAAGGGAAAGAATCCAGAAGGGGAAACAGAAAGAAATATTCAGACACAGACACAATCATCACCAGCACACATCCCCTGCACTAACCCTTTTCTTTTCGGATTCGCTAGCACTATTACAATCTGAATATTTTTAAAAAAGAAGCTCACAAGTGGGGAGGCAATACTAGGACGTTTTCAAACGAGACACCACCATAACCTTCGACGGCTGATTTCAAATCTGTTTTTCGTTTGTTGCGAAATTTTTTCCTGTAAAAGTTATACGTGTTTGAAGTTTTTCTAGTAAAAATGCGAGTGTTTGAAACCAAATAGGGATTCCTTCAAGTGGTTCTCCCGTCGATCCGTGAGAGGACTCAAACGTGAACTCGATCGTACAGTGAACTCAGACGCTTGTCATACAAAAGCACGAGGCCTCTAATTTTTACTCGAGTTCATTTCCTTCTTTGTTGTTTATTTTCATGGGTTTAATTTATAATTTATGTAATTATAAAATTTAATTTATAAAATCTATAAATCCATCAAGTCACTTTTGAGTCGCTTTATAAGAAAATTAAAAATTAGAGGCCTGGTTTTGTATGCAAGCGTCTT